AGAGTCGCTCTACAACCTCACAATCGTCTTGCCGCACTCGTCCGAGACGCTGACGATCATGGTAAGCAACAAGCCTCGAACGACGTCACCATGGAGCTGTTCGGCCCTTCTAACACATGCCTTTCCCCAGATCTACGCCCACGAGCAGGTCAGTGAAGTCCGTCAGGCCATCATCGAGTCGCCCGCCGCCCAGCAGTACTCCTGCTTCCACCTCGAATACAAGGGCGCCCGCGTCAACGAGTTTGGCCAGGTCTCCGAGATCGCAGACCTTGCCCTCGAGGCCGACATCCACGTCGTCGAAGACCCCTACACCGAGAAGGAGGCCCGCCTCCATGTCATTCGGATACGGGACCTGATCGGCGCCGCTGGCGACCACCCTGACACTGTCCATGGTGTCCTGCCTGGCCTGTCCCTCTTCGACAGCGTGACCGCCGAGGCCACCGCTGCATCTGAGGCCACCCCCGTCGAGTTCGACTTCACTGCGCCGGCCGACCAGACTACTCTTCTCCCTCGCCCGTCCTCGGACGAGGCCGCGCCCAAGACCATCAAGGCGCTGCAGATCTCGCCCTGGAACCCGCCACCAGCACATCTGCGCCAAAAGGGCCACCTGATGTACCTCATTGTGACGACCAACGAGGGCGAGCAGTTCCAGGTCACCTCGCACGTCGCTGGCTTCTACGTCAATAAGTCGTCCAATTCCAAGTTCGACCCCATGCCGCGGCCAGCGCCCAAGGCTCACTCGGCCCACTCGCTGCTGAGCCTGATCGACGACCTCTCGCCGTCGTTTGCCGCCAGCTTCGCCAAGCTGCAGGAGTTCAACAGCCGCCGCGACCCCCTGTCCACTTTCCAGATCACCAGCGCTCTGCCCGCGGCCCCGTGGCTGGTGCCTGCCTTGTCGTCGCCTGCGCGCACACACAGCTCCGACATCACCCGCACCCAGGAGGCCTACCTAATTGCTGGAACGGAGAACGTGGACAACCTGCGCGACTGGAACGAGGAGCTGCAGTCGGCCCGCGAGCTTCCCCGCGACACCGTCCAGGACCGCATCTTCCGTGAGCGCCTTGTCGCCAAGGTGTTCGCCGACTACATTGACGCTGCCACCCGCGGTGCCATGCTCGTGGCCAGCGGCGAGGTGGGCCCGCTAAATCCCACCGAGGGCCGCGATGCGCAGATCTTTGTGTACAACAACATCTTCTTCTCTTTTGGAGCGGACGGTGTCGGCACCTTCACGTCCGAGGGCGGTGACGAGGCTGCTCGTGTTGCTACTGGCAAGGACGTTGCCGGTGTGCGCCGCATTAACCAGCTTGATCTGGACGGCCTGTACTCGCCCGGCACCGTTGTTGTCGACTACCTCGGCAAGCGCATTGTTGGCCAGAGCCTTGTGCCCGGCATCTTCAAGCAGCGCGAGCCGGGCGAGAACCAGATCGACTACGGTGCGGTGGACGGCAAGGACGTTGTTGCTGCGGACGAGCGTTTCGTCGCGCCGTTCGCCAAGATGTCGCAGGCGCTGAACGTCAAGCGGCACGCCGTCTGGGACAAGGACCAGAAGCGCCACGAGCTGGAAGCCAGCGTCGAGACCAAGGGCCTGATGGGCACGGATGGCCGCAAGTACGTTCTGGATCTGTACCGCATCACGCCGCTGGACATTTCTTGGCAGGAGGCGGGTGAGGCTGCCGAGAAGGACGGCGCCCCTGCCTACCCGCACCGCATGACGGTCCTGCGCCCGGAGCTCATCGACATCTACTCGCGTGTCAAGATGCGTGAGTGGCTCGATGGCGAGCTTGCCAAGCGCAACAAGGCCAAGGCCGAAGAGACGCCTGAGAAGACCGAGAAGACCGAGAAGACCGAGGAGACAGAGGAGAAGACAGAGAAGACAGAGAAGACCGAGGAGACGACCGAGGATAAGACCGAAAAGACAGAGGAGAAATCTGAGGAGGGCGAGGCCAAGGCCCAGGACAACCGTATTGACGTGTCCGATTTCAAGTTCGCCCTCAATCCTGACTCGTTCAGCGGCCAGGTGCCGCAGACCGAGGAGGAGAAGGAGGAGACGGCCAACGACGAGAAGGACGTCCGTGCCGTGTGCACCTATCTGCAGGACGTTGCCATCCCGTCTCTGATCTCCGACCTCAGCGATTCGGAGATTAGCTTCCCCATGGACGGCCGCTCCCTCAGCCAGCTGCTGCATAAGCGCGGCATTAACGTCCGCTACCTCGGCCGCATTGCCACGCTGAGCGAGAAAGAGGAGCGCCTCAAGTGCCTGCACGACGTGTCCGTCCGCGAGATGATCTCTCGTGCGTTCAAGCACGTCGCGGCCAAGTACCTTCGCTACCTGCCGCTGCCGCTGAGCTCGGCCTGTCTTGCGCACCTGCTGAACTGCCTGCTTGGCGCTGGCCTGAACGCCAAGCCGACGGCCGATGTGGACCCGTCCATCCGCAGCCTCTACAGCGAGGCCGACCTCGCGTTCGAGTCAGTGACGCCTGAGAGTCTGCGCGCCGATGTCGAGGCCGAGACGGTCCGCCGCTTCCGCTTCACGCTGCCGGCCAGCTGGCACACGGGGATGCGCAACCACCTGCAGCTGCTGCGCGAGGTCTCGCTGAAGCTGGGCATCCAGGTGCTGAGCTCCAAGTTTGCCTTTACCGCCGAGGAGGCAACCGCTGCCACGACCGAGAATGGCCAGACCGGCCAGAACGGCCAGAACGGCACGGCGAACGGCGCACCCGCGAACAATGGCGCGGCTAACGGCGAGGGCAGCAAGAACAAAAAGAAGAAGAAGGCAGCGCGCGACGGCTCGCCGTCGTCGATCGACTCGGAGGCTCGCGCTGCCGCCGCGCGCCCCGCACACACGTTCTCGGCAGACGACATTGTCAACGTCGTGCCTGTGGTGAAGGACTCGGCGCCCCGTGGCTCGCTGGCCGAGGAGGCGCTGGAGGCCGGCAAGATCTCGCTATCCCAGGGCCAGAAGAAGATTGGCCAGGAGCTGCTGTTGGAGTCGCTGTCGCTGCACGAGCAGATCTATGGTATCCTGCACCCCGAGGTGGCGCACGCGTACCACACGCTGTCGATGCTGTACTACCAGATGGACGAGAAGGACGCGGCGGTCGAGCTCGCGCGCAAGGCCATTATTGTGTCGGAGCGCGTCGTCGGCGTTGACAGCCAGGAGACGCTCCTGGACTACCTGAACCTGGCGCTGTTCCTGCACCAGCAGGGCAAGAGCGCGCTGGCGCTCGAGTACGCCAAGCACGCGCTGCGTCTGTGGCGCGTGATGTACGGTGCGGACCACCCGGACGTGATCACGACGATGAACAACGCGGCGGTGATGCTGCAGAGCATGAAGGCGTACCACGAGTCGCGGCGGTGGTTCGAGGAGTCGCTGCGGGTGTCGGAGCAGGTGTTTGGCCGCGCGTCGCTGAACTCGGCCACGCTTCTGTTCCAGCTGGCGCAGGCCCTGGCCCTGGACCACGACAGCAAGGCGGCCGTCAACCGCATGCGCGAGAGCTACAACGTGTTCCTCAACAAGCTCGGCCCCGACGACAAGAACACCAAGGAGGCCGAGAGCTGGCTCGAGCAGCTGACGCAGAACGCCGTGTCGCTGGCCAAGCACGCCAAGGACCAGGAGGCCCGCCGCCTTCGTGCGGGCATCAAGTTCACGACTCGCGGGGCGGCCGCCGGCTCGGTGGTTCCCGGTGCCGGTGCAGGCGCCAAGGCCGGTGCGACGCCGGCCAACGCGGCGGCTGGCTCGGCGGCCTCGGTGGGCGACAAGCCGTCGATGGACTCGCGGTCGATTGATGAGCTGATCAAGTTCATTGAGGGCGCAGAGGGCACGAAGAAGACGACGTCGGGCGGCAGCAAGAAGCGCAGCAACCCCAAGCGGAGGGGTGCGGCGTAAGAGGCTGTCCCAACACTCTCGAACGTCAGGAAAACACAAAATAACCAAATTATAAGAAAAAGAAGAACGAAACAATAAAAGAAAAGGCGACAACGAGGGTAGTTTGCATTAGAAAAGGGGCGGTCGACCGGAGTCTCGAATTCGACAGCTTCCGGGTGTATTATCAACAGCACGCACAACCTCCTCCACCACTCCATCGCGCCATGTCACAGAGGTTCCACATCTCTCCATCTCTTGCATATCCTCCCGATTGCTTTGCATATGTTGTTTGTCATTTGACTGCATTATTTCGCATTTTCTCTCATCTCTGTATCGCCTACTGTCCATGTTGCGACTTTTACATGTTCCAAAACCTATAAAATTCCTCTCTCAACTCCATTTCAGCATTGTTTTCTCAATACGCACACAACCAACCTCCCTCCTATACACATGTACATATAAAAATCATCAATAAGTGGACACGGCTTTTTCTGGTCTTTTCTTTCAGGGTTTGTTTTGTTGTCTTCTTCCCTTTTTTCTTCGAGTTCTGGAACTTACATGCAAAATGGGCCCAAGACACGATAAAAAGGGAAAAGGAGGGATTTATAGAGAAGACGCCTCGCCGTCGAACCTCTTCTCTTCTGGGTATTTACAAAATGGCGAGGGAGTCAAAAAAGAGGGTATTTTATTGTTACAAAACGGGACATGAGGCCACGGCCGTCATTGTATATATACACACACACTCTCCAATCTATCAGCATTCAAGACATAGTCACTATTGCTAGAGATGAGAGAGAAGCCAGTGAGATGCATGTGTATAATAAAGTGGTCATAATGGCAACGTAAAAGAGATTTTCACGGCCCAGGGAATACTGTCGCTTAGTCATCAATATGTCTCTCAGTCCAGCCGGTGTTCGTGGGTCCTCGCTGCCAAAATCGCCTGTAATTACAGGGCAGTTTCGGGCGAATCAGAGACCGGCTTTTGGGGACGATGACCGGCTTTTGGGGACGATGACTTCTCTTAGCTCATGCTTCTGCGTCTTTGAAAGTCCTTTGCTGCGAGGCAACGCATTTTGTCAGCCGGCCTACGTCATTCGCATCAAGAAACCAAAACAAAATCGAAAATATCGCCAAGATGAGTGCACCGTGGCTTGCCGTACCGCGTAGCCTGCAGGGTGCCGCCGCTGCATCTCGGGCGACGTCTGCATCGGCTCTCCGGTCGCCGGCCTCGTCCTCATTCTCGTCGCTGACCATCTGCTGCGCATGCCGGAGGACCCGGAGCCGGACCGGGGCGGCTCGGCGGTCGTACAGCAGCAGCACTGGAGCTGCCTTGCCTCAGGTGCCGGCGGCTGGCGTTGCTGCCCTGGCGTCGCGCCGCCTGATTTCCGTGTCGGGCCCCGACGCTGCAGAGTATCTGCAGGGCGTCATCACCTCGAGCATGGTGCGGTTGCAGACGCAGACGGGCCAAGACGACGGAACGGGCGCAGCGCCACCGCAGTCCGGCTTCTACTCGGCGTTTCTGAGTGCGCAGGGCCGCGTGCTGCACGACGTCTTTGTGTACCGGGACACACTCGGCGTCGGCAAGGATGCCGGCAGCGGCGGCGACGCGAGCGCGTCGTTTCTCATCGAGGTCGACGCCGACGCGGCCGCGACTCTGGCCAAGCACATCCGGCGGTACAAGCTGCGGGCCAAGTTTGACGTGCGGCTGCTCGCGGCCGACGAGCTCACCGTGTGGCACGGCTGGGGTCTGCCGGCGGGCGCGCCGCTGCCGTCCGTTGGCGCCGATCCTGGACTGATTGCACACCACGATACCCGTGCACCCGGTCTTGGCTGGCGGTTTGTTGCGCCGGCCGCCCGCACCGCTTCGTCCCTCCCTGCGCAGATAGAGCTCAACGTCGCGGACGAGGCTGCGTACCGCGTGCGACGCTACCTGCTGGGCGTCGCCGAGGGCCAGCGCGAGATGCTGCACAACCAGGCGCTGCCGCTCGAGAGCAACATGGACATTATGGGCGGCATCGACTTCCACAAGGGCTGCTACGTCGGCCAGGAGCTGACCATCCGCACGCGCCACCGCGGCGTCGTGCGCAAGCGGATTCTGCCGTGTCTCGTGTACGGCGCCGACGACGAACAACCGCGGTCGCTCGCCGTGGACGCACGCGGCACCACCAGCCACGGCCTGGCCGACACGATCCCCGCCGAGACAAGCATTGGTCGCGTGGGAAAGCGGGGCCGCAGTGCCGGAAAGTGGCTGAGCGGCGTGGGCAACCTGGGCCTGGCCCTCTGCCGGCTCGAGACCATGACGGACGTTGCGCTGCCCGGCGAGGCAGTGGCGGCCGCAGCGACGGCGGCAGCGACCTTTGACCCGACAAGCGAGTTTGTGATGAACGTTGTCGAGCGGAGCGAGAACGACAGCGAGGGTGGCAGCGGCGGGGAGGGCGAGGCTGATACCAGCGCACCGCCAACGGCCGTCAAGATCAAAGCCTTTGTGCCCGACTGGCTGCGGCAGGGATTGGCGCCACAGGATTAGGACGGTTTCGTGTTTCCATAGTGGAAAAGCAAACCACTTGTATTCTACTCCGTTTGCTCAAACGAGAACGGACGGGTATCATATCTAATGTACATAGCGCATAGAAGCATAAACCAACACTCCTCACAGCCCCAGGTCTAGGCTAGACCCTCCTCCTAGGCAGCCGTGTCCATCGGCACATGTCCTGTTCTGGCCGACGGCGCCGCCGCCGCAGGGAATTTAGGCACTCTCGTGATAAACTTGCGTACCTCAGGGTCGTCAATCTCTTCCCACTCTGGCTCGAAGGGCGTCACTGTGGCCGACGCATCTCTCGCGGCGTGCCGCCTTTGGGCCGTGCCCGCCGCCTTCAGCCGGTCCATTGTGTACGCAAACAGAGGCCGTTGCTGCACGGTGGCTACGTCGCCCGCCTTGGCCTGCGCAGCACCCGTCTTGAGCAACTTGCGCCATTCTGCATCGGGTTGGGAAACCGGTGGTTGTTGTGCTGTTGCTGCTGTTGCTGTGTCTGATGCCGCTGGTTTGGAACTGTCGCCGTCCCGCACACCACCCTTCCTTTCGGCCCGCCGCCGCGCCTTGTCTTCCTTGTCCCGCAGCCGCTGCTCGATCTCGGCAATCCGCTCGTCCTCGCGCTGCCGCACGCGGTCTTGTGCTTCCTGCTCGCGGCGCTGACGCTCTTCGGCCCGCCGCCGGCCGGCTTCCCGCAGCTTGTCGCGCTCCGTCGAGGCAGCAGGGGCCGTCGACGTGCTGGTGGCCCCGCCAAACCCAAACGGCGCACCGCCCGCCGCCGCTGCTGCACCGTGCTCCCGCTCGGCCGCCTCCAGCTCGTCCTTGAACCGCCGCCGCTCGGCGCTCATCTGCTCGCTCTGCAGCCGCCGCTGCGCCGCCGCCGCGCGGCCCGTGTCGTACACCTTGCGCGCCTCGTCGTCCACCAGCACATCCCGTGCCCGCGCAAATCGCTCGTACAGCGTCGGGTCGTAGTTGGCGCCCGCCTTGTCCGGGTGGTATTTGAGACCTTTGCGCCGCCATGCGCGGTGGATGTCGTCGCGCGACGTGCTGCCGTCCACGCCCAGCAGGTCGTAGAGGTCCACGCCCGCCTTGGCGCTCTCGCGTGCAAACGCGACGATCTCTGCTTTGTCGTCCATGGTGAGGGCGGTGTGTGGGGGGAGTGGATGTGTCGCGAGGAGAGATGTGTGCAGGGAGAGGTTGGATTAGGTGTGAAGTGCAATGCGGTGCCTGGAAAGGTGTGATGTGCCTGCTTGTGGCAGGTGGCAAAATTTTTATCTTATCTGTGCCCATTAACGCGCCAGGCGATAGTGACCCGCGTCAGGCGTAATTCGTTACAGCAGGTTCAGCGAACACCTAGCGCTAAAATACAGGGCCTGGAACCCACTGCCTTGACCCTGTGCCATTCACCACTTTAATGCGCATCTTCCGCTGAACCAGTCTACCCATGTCTCCCTCCTCGCTTCTCAATTGGAGAAGCTTTATGAGCATTGCCAAGTTAAGATGATGTCGTGTCCGCCGTGCCTTCTTGTCTTGCGCTCCACTCGCCGCTCGTCTGTTGCTGCATCAACCCTAGAATTACAGTGGAGTCAGGGCGCCACAGCGGCCATGTGAATGGAGACGTCGTGAGATAAGGGTGGCATGCACTGCAGCACAGAGCCTTTATTCTACACGAGAGTCCTGTAAATAAAAAGATGATGGAACATGAAACCACAAAGCTATGAGAAACGAGACTGTGCCGTCAAACTTCCTCGATCAAAATCGTCAAAGATCTGGAGATGTTAGAACCGCTGATGCCACTGAAGCCACTATAATTATAGTGGGTTACAGTGGACTTCTCGGCGGTCTAAAACAGGTTGACGCCCACACCGACCGCACCTGCACTTTAAATGGGCCAGACGTGGTTGCCCCGTCAACACGAATGGACCCACCCAATGTAAACATCGCCATTAAAAGGAGGCAGACCGACCACTTTTGCTTCACTTTGTCTCTCTCTTTCCCCTTTTCTTTCTTCCTCACCACCTACACTCATCTCCTCCCTCCCGCTCTCCCTCGCATTCCTCGTGCATCCTCTGCTTTTAAAGCGTCATCGCTTGTCCACGTCTCTTGCCTCGCTCCTGAATCTCCTCAAGTCCATTAGATCTTTTCGCTCCTTGCCATCAGATCGCCCCTTCGACTTGCATGCTACTCCCAGCAGGCTCTCACCTCGATACATTAGACCAAAACAGAAAAGAAAAAATAAAAGAAACCTAAGAACCACTAACCACACAACCAACAATTCCAGGAACCATTAGCTTGAGTCTCTTGGAGCTCGTTCGAAACATCGGATAAGCTCATCTACACTCGCATTTTGTCTTTTTCCCGCTTGTTTTTTAGCAAATCCTTCACAATGGCCTCCGCCGCTGTATCAACACCCCTCAAGTCCCATGCTGGACTCTTCTCCTCCCGGACCGCTGGCGGCCGCATGCCCCTGACGCCCTCCCCCCGTCAGCGCACCGCCGCCGCCCCGTCCAACTACGACTCCTCCCCCTTCACACCAGAACGCCAGCCGGCCAACAACGGCGCCGAGCGCATCTGCACAAAATCCGTCTATGGCGGCAACCTGTCCTCGCACTTTGCCCGTGCCTCCAAGTCGTCGGCTGCACACCGCGACTCGCCCAAGTCCAACATTGCCCGCAGCGTTCCAACGCCGCGCAAAGCCCTCGAGCTCGGCGTCTCCGACTTTGCGCTGACCGGCACTGGCCAGCAGGCCAAGACCCCCTCGAGCGTCCGCAGCAAGAAGACAACTGTGCGGCAGAAGACCACCAAGACCACGCTCACCTACGGCGCCGCCGACCGCTTCATCCCCAACCGTGCCGCCAGCTCTGCCATCGCCAACGTTGGCTCTGGCAAGCTTGACTTTGCCGACCGCACGCGCCCGTCCAGCCGCACGGGCAGCGAGGCGTCCACCGTCCTGTCCTCGGCCACCGACGATGCTCTGGCTGCCCTGGAGGCGCTGAACATTGACGACCGCGACGACGACGACTCGGCCAGCTACTCGCGGCCGTCTCCCGGTTCGATTGCCTACCAGGACTCCCTGGCCAGCGCCTGCGGCGTCAACATCAACACGCGCATTCTGCAGTTCAAGCCCGCGCCGCCTGAGTCGTCCAAGCCCATCGACCTGCGCCAGCAGTACAACCGTCCCCTGAAGCCGGCCGGTGCCAGCGCGGCCCAGTTCCGCCGTCGCATCGCCACCGCCCCGGAGCGTGTCCTTGATGCCCCCGGCCTGGTCGACGACTACTACCTGAACCTGCTCGACTGGAGCTCTGGCAACCAGGTGGCCATTGGTCTGGAGCGCAACGTCTACGTCTGGTCGGCCGACGAGGGCTCGGTCAGCTGCCTGCTCGAGACCAGCCCGGACACGTACGTTAGCAGCGTGAAGTGGTCGGGCGACGGTGCCTACGTCGGTGTCGGCCTCGGCTCAGGCGAGGTCCAGATCTGGGATGTCGCCGAGGGCACCAAGGTCCGCAGCATGTTCGGACACGACACGCGCGTTGGTGTCATGGGCTGGAACAAGCACCTTCTCTCGACCGGCGCTCGCAGCGGTCTGGTCTACAACCACGACGTCCGCATCGCTGAGCACAAGGTGGCCGAGCTCGTCTCGCACACGTCCGAGGTCTGCGGCCTGGAGTGGCGCTCGGACGGCGCCCAGCTCGCAACGGGCGGCAACGACAACCTCGTGTCCATCTGGGATGCCCGGTCGCTGGCTGTTCCCAAGTTCACCAAGACCAACCACAAGGCTGCCGTCAAGGCTCTGGCCTGGTGCCCCTGGAACATGAACCTGCTCGCCACGGGCGGCGGTTCGTACGACCGCCACATCCACTTCTGGAACACCACGTCGGGCGCACGCGTCAACAGCATCGACACCGGCTCGCAGGTCACCAGCCTCCGCTGGAGCACCAGCTACCGCGAGATTGTCAGCACCAGCGGCTTCCCCGACAACTCGCTGAGCATCTGGAGCTACCCCACGCTGGTCCGCAACGTCGAGATCCCGGCCCACGAGAGCCGTGTCCTGCACAGCTGCCTGAGCCCGGACGGTCAAATGCTTGCCACTGCTGCCGCCGACGAGTCGCTCAAGTTCTGGAAGATCTTTGAGAAGAAGGCCGGCGCCAGCGCCAGCTCGGGCAGCTCGGGCTCCTCCGGCAAGGCCGACATGGTCAAGCAGATGACGATCCGCTAACTGCGACGAAGGCGACACGACAACACGACATCACAACGACAACAGCGCAGCAACACTCGACAACGAACAACACGAACAACGACACATCAACAACTGCTCGGCTTACTCTCTCCCCGATGTAACTGGCAACGGTAGGTATAAACGGATCCTGGTTTCCTCGTCTGGGCTTTTATATCTGGTTTCATTGGGTTGGCAATTTGTTTTTCGTCTTCTTTCGTCCGGCTCGACAAAGACAAGACTTGGGTCGTTTCAGCGCGGAGTTGGGGATAGGGGGCTTGGTTGGCTTCACGATTTATTTACGATGGACAACTTGGCCGAATGTTCGATACTTCGCCAACAGGAAAAGAGGATACATTTTTGTTATGCCCTTTTTTTATGAGACGATTTCTATTCCACGACGGAAGAGGAGGGTAACTAGGGAAAACTGGGTTTCTCGAGCTCTTATTTTAATAATGAAAGCGGCTGCTGTTATTTGCATTTCAACAACGGCGATATTGAACAATTCGAGGCTTTGACTCTGTCTCTTATCATCTCCAGTTACTCTCACAATGTATGCCTTGTTGTATATAGGATTACCTTGGAAAAATGCGTGGCAAAAGCTGTGATGAAGCGAACCTATTGTAGCATGCGGAGTGCTGTAGAAGCTGTTAGAACAAGCGCAGACCGCTGAGAAATAGGGCGTCAGGGGCATCCTGGAGCAGAGAATTGCCGCCTGGATTCCCGCTAAACGTGCCAAGACTTAGCACACGTGACCTGGCTGCGGTAGTGGGACGTAGCGAGGTGCGGCGCTAACTAAGCAGGCACGGGCAGACTTATTACAAACTGCTGGGCAGCAGCCAAACTTGCCGGAAACAAACCACTGTTTTTGCATCGCCGTCACTGAACGCACCTTTGTTCAACGACGACCGCATCCAGCACCCTCACTCCGCAACCGCATACTGTGTGCACGTAACGACGACGACCCACCGCATTCACGTGTTTCGTCGATTCCCGAACCTCACAAGCCAATTCAAATAGGCGTTGTCGTGGTGGAAGACGCAACCGAAGGCCTCGTGATTTTACAGTTACTTTGCTGCACTTGCAGGACAGCGTCACAATCACGTAACAATCGCGGCGCAATTACAGCAGATTTCGCAGTTGAGGTACAGCTCAGGCGGGACAGACGACGGCAAGGCCAGGCAGAGACAAAAGTCAGGAGACTCCCTTTCTGTGAAAGCAGACTCTGGAGGCCCAAAGCCACCATCATTCACCAACTGCGACGAAAGCGCAATCACATCGACAGCACGGCTGAGTGGAAGTCGAGCCCTGCACGACACGACTCAGCTTCACTTTTTTTTGTGGCCTTTTGGAACCGTTCCCCCAAGCCGCAAACGCCTCCTCATTCTCACCTCGCCGTCACGTCCTTCACGTTCTTCACGTCCCGACTTCGCGTTCCCAAGACTCGCGCCGGCGTCTCACCGCACGGGGGGGATCGATCGACACACAGCACCCGTCTGTAACCTTGACGTACCGAGAGTCGATTGCGAGCCAGAGCGTCTGCTTGGCCAGCCCCAAGTCTAGCCATGTCAAATAACGTCGTCGGCTCGGTCTACGAGCAGATTATTGAGGATGTGCTCTCGACGTCGCGCGTCGACTTTGAGGAGAACGGCGTCGACGAGGGCGTGCTGGACGAACTGCGAAGAGTAAGTGGTTCTCTCGTGCTTCTTCTTGCTTTTCTGGCTTTTGCTTCTTGTCGTTCTTGTTCTGTTGTCCCGTTTTCGTCGTCGTTTCCTCTCCCTTGTGCAGTCTTCAGCGTCTTCCATCGTTCTGGCGCCCTCACGTGCACGACGCAATGTTTTCCGTTTCTCTTTCTTCTCTTCCAGAAACAAATGTTCTCGTCTTGTTTCCGTTTCGTTCCTCCTTTTCGTGTTCAAACTCCTGTTTCAAGCGTCGTGTCGTCGAGTTCTCGTCGCTTTCTTGTCACCCCATCGTCCTCGTTCCTGTGGCCAAAAGGCACGAAGAGAGGGGCGCGGAGTGGGCGGCCATGGCCTATTTGCATCCCTATTTAACTTTGCCACTTTGGCTCAGCCCCACGGTTGCCTAAGGTGCCCACTGAAATTCAGGCGGCTAAAGCGGCCACCGGGCTCCACTGGCCATCACTGAAGGGACGCTAATTGGTGGAAAGTCACCTTCTGCGTTTGCATCACGTGTAACCTGCAATCACTCTCGCATGAGGCCTTGACATTCGTTTGGCATATTCGTTTGCACATTGTTTGGCTTGATGCTTTTTATCTACAATTAAAATATGGAGATATACTAACATTCGACCTCAGGGCTGGCAACGGAAGCTGACCCAGTTCAATGTTGCTCAGTTCCCATGGGATCCCAAGCCGGAACCGGAGGCGGCCGCCAGCAATGGCGCTGCTGCAGCCTCGTCTGGCGGCAAAGCGTCAGGCAAGGACACCTCGCCACCGACGTCGACGGACAACAGCTTCTCCCAGCCCACCATGAGCCCATTGACGTCGCAGAGCCTCTCGCTGCCCAGCCTGCCCATGCCGGCGTTTGAGCCCGCCGGCATCAAGACAGAGGACAGCACGCAGTCGTCGGGCGGCCACCGCATCAAGACGGAGCCCGACGCGCAACACAGTTCGGGCCTTACGGGCGTGCCCTCTGCAGGGTCCCACATGCCCCTGCCCAATGCGCCGCCGTTCCCCTCGGCGGCCGGTGGGCCCGACAGTGCCGCCATGCGTGCCGCCGCCATGCTGAGCAAGGAATTCGGCAGCGCCGCCAACGCATCCATTAACGCCATGAACACGCAGCAGCAGCAGCAGCAGCAGCAGCAGCGTCCGGCGGGTGGCCAGCTCAGCAGTGCGCAACAGTACCGAGCACAAATGTCGGCGCAGGCCGCCGCGCAGCTGAACGGCGCCAACGGCGCCAACGGCGTGGCACGATCGCAGGTAGATGGCGGCGCCGACGACGGTGCCGACGACGGTGCCGACGATGGTGCCGACGATGGTGCCGAGGACAGTGCTGACGCCTCGCTGTTTGAGGGTGTGCTTCTCCAGCAACAGCGGGCCGGCCAGCCGCCCGTCGAGCTGGGTCGAATGGAGATTGACAACCTGCTGCACGAGCAGATGGCGCGGCGGGCGAAGCAGATGGAGGGCGGCGGCCTGATGCTGCCGCTGCAGCAGGCGAGTCAGCGTCAGGCTCGCCAGCGGCGCGCTGCCGCGACGGCCACCGCTGCTGTTCCTGCTGCGTCACAACCCAGAGCCGCTACGTCGATGGCGCAGCTTGATGGCATCGAAGACGGCGACGACGAAGACGTTAAGGCCGACATCTTGGACGACGAGGATGCCATCAACTCGGATCTGGACGATCCCGAGGATGACCGTGAGGATGAGGACGACGAGGACGACGTCATGGGCCCGATTATGCTGTGCGTGTACGACAAGGTGCAGCGCGTGAAGAACAAGTGGTACGTTTCGGCCTCCTTTTCCATTTCGTTGCGTTTCACTTTCTGCCGACGTCTACTAACCCCCTTGCAGGAAGTGCACGCTCAAGGACGGTGTTCTCACCGTTAATGGCAAGGAATACGTGTTCCACAAGGCGACGGGCGAGTACGAGTGGTGATGTCTCTGCGTAGGCGTCCTTGAAGAGAAAAGAATGTGATTGGGCCGGGCAAGGCGGAGCAAACAAATGTGTGCTCACCGTCGCCTTCTATTCAAAAACAGCATCTTATAGTTTCTAGTTTCTTGTATTGTCTTCTCACAATGGTTTCTGGGGTGAGCTTACATAATAACCCCTCACCGTTTTGTTTTTTTCGTATTTTTATTTTATGTTCGACTTTACCAAATGGAACAGGCAGCGGTTGATTTATCGTTTCTTATGATTGTGGGTTGAACGAAGAAGAGATAAAATAGAAACTAAAAACAGTACCGAACCAGTGCCGCCCCAAACATAGTTAGCCCTTTCTCGGTGAGCCGTTGTCCACACGATCAAGCGCAGGAAACGCATAGGCACGTAGAAATAAAGTAGTTTGCGTTGTCGAACAAATGTGCCTCCGTTCTGCCAGTGCCAGTCGCACCGCTCCGAGCTCCGCGACACCGACTTCCGTGAAAAAATCGGGAGAAGCAACAAGGGCCGGCCCAGAGCCAGCCCCCGGGAACAACGACATTTTTTTTTATCTGCAACACCACAAGTGTTCTCCAGCTTCAGGCTTCTAGACCTTCTGGATACGTCGAGGCTCTTGGGTTGAGCTGCCGGACACCTGTCTCGTCTCCCACTTTCTCATCGTCCCCACATTGCAAGCTCCGTAAAAGCCGTCTTCGCTCATGCACGTTGTCAGCTGCCACTCGGATCAGCATCGCCTCCCACCTTCATCTCCGGTCTCCGCAGCAGATTGGGAGAGAAAAGAGGAAACGATACAAATATGCAAGCCACGCAGAGACAACCAAAACAACGCGGCTGTCGGCGGCCCTACTGCTTACGGTCAATCCGTCGCGATTCCCCTCTCTCGCTCCTCCGTGACCCCCATTCCCCATCCTTTGTCGAGCTAAGGCTCCGGCAAAATGCAAAGCGCCCTGCGCAGGACACTAAAAGCTGGCCTTGTAAAAGGGGACGTACCAGCGAGCACAGCGTTTTGACCATCACCTGCCCGAAATATACGACCCACGATGCGGCGGTGCGACGGTGCGACGATGCTCCATCCTGACTACGAATATGAACAGCTGTCCCGACGCCCCCCGTGCACGTATGCTGCAAACCTTGCCTGCTGTGTCCGGTCACGATTGGAGAGGGAGGGATGGTATGCCACCAATAAACTGCGGCACGAGCACGGCAAAGTCCACGATGGTTTAGACCAGAGCCCCTTATTTTTGGCGTTCGCCCCTGTCCTGAGAGGCAAGAACTGTCCGACACACTGCGCTTGTAGATATTTTTTTTCCCTCAGTGTGTGATCTGGGCGAGAACCCCGCACTCGTTCATTCCCTCCTAGGAGCGGAGACGAGCCCTGCCATCCCGTGTTGATGTGGGCGGCTGGCAGTGTGGCTTATATTTAAATACGGAGGGACCGGCGCCTTGCTCTCGTCGTCTCGTCCGTCGTAGTTTCCTCCCCCAAGAAGCATATTTACGGCCAGCTCTACGTAGTTAGCAAGGGAAGCCCGCGTCCAATTTACAGTCCGTCCGTCTCTACACCACAGACCACATTCTACGAAACAACATCACCCTCGCTCGCACAATGCCGTTCGCCCCCTCCGTCGCGCCGACCAAGGCCAACATCGGCGTCTACACCAACACGAACCATGACCTGTGGGTTGCACCGGCCGAGCCCTCGCTCGAGACGGTGCAGGCCGCCGAGGGCCTGAAGCCCGGCGAGGTGACTGTGGCCATCCGGAGCACGGGCATCTGCGGGTGAGTTTTGTGTGTGTGCTGCTGCTTGCGTACGGTTGTTGCACGTCTTGCTCACTCTCCTTTTCCGACAGGTCGGATGTCCACTTCTGGAAGCACGGCTGCATCGGCCCCATGATCGTCACGGGCGACCATGTCCTCGGCCACGAGTCCGCCGGCGAGGTCATTGCCGTGCACCCCGACGACGCCGCCGTCGCCGACGACCCGTCCAAGGGCCACAACCTCAAGGTCGGCGACCGCGTCGCCATCGAGCCCAACATCATCTGCGGCGCCTGCACGCCCTGCCTGACGGGCCGCTACAACGGCTGCGAGCGCGTCGACTTCTTGTCCACCCCGCCCGTCAACGGGCTGCTGCGCCGCTACGTCAACCACCCGGCCGTGTGGTGCCACAAGATTGGCGACACCATGTCCTGGGAGGAGGGCTCGCTGCTCGAGCCCCTCAGCGTCGCCCTCGCCGGCCTGCACCGTGCCAAGATCGAGCTGGGCGACCCCGTTCTCGTCTGCGGCGCCGGCCCCATCGGCCTCGTCACGGCGGTCTGTGCGCGTGCGGCGGGCGCGTGCCCGCTCGTCATCACGGACGTCGACGCCGGCCGCCTGGAGTTTGCGGCGAAGCTGGTGCCGGGCATCCAGACGGTCAATGTCGGCGGCGGCGGCCCGCGCCCGGCGCCAACGGACCCCATCGACGGCCCGGCCGAGGCCACGGCCAAGAAAATCGTGGCCGAGGGCTTCGGCGGCGTCGAGCCGCTGCTGGCCATTGACTGCACCGGCGTCGAGAGCAGCATCGCGTCGGCCGTGTGGGCCGTGCAGTTTGGCGGCCGCGTGTTTGTGATTGGCGTGGGCCGCAACGAGATCCGGATGCCGTTTATGCGCGCGAGCGTGCGCGAGGTCGACCTGCAGTTCCAGTACCGCTACAGCAACACGTGGCCGCGCGCCATCCGGCTGGTGCAGAGCGGGCTGGTGGACCTGAAGCCGCTGGTGACGCACCGTTTCAAGCTGGAGGACGCCGTGGAGGCCTTCCGCACGTCGTCGGACCCGACGACGGGCGCAATCAAGGTGCAGATCCAGAGCCTGGATTAGAGGCGGTGCCAGAGGGAGAGTGATGATGAGTTTTAAACGAATTTAGGACCAGGAGCGTTGTTTGCCTTTTTGGCCGTTTTGCCATTTATTTTTTACACGTTATAGAATAGAATGCCATGCACACTGTTTCAAGCGCACCGTCGCATCCAACTGCTCCCTTTCGTGCCCATACTGCATTCCCTTCGTACCACAGTCGTGTTTGTCCGGTGTGTTTGAATGCAGCACTTCCGGCGCCTGCAATTATGGCCTTAGTCCAGCATGTGGCACGCTGCAAAGAAAAGCACAGGCGCGACTGCACCCCTGCTTGCCACGATCGTCCCAGCTGCAAGCTCCATCAATTGGCGCAATTCCATTGGCTGGGACCACCGGAGAATGCCAAACGTTCCTGCCTTTGGGACCTTGCGACATCTCCCGAGCTTTCCTCTTTTGCGACTAACTGGAATTTTCGCCCTGTAAGTTTTTTTTACTATTTTTTTTGGGCCCGTTCCGTGTCGCCTGCTCGATTACCGTGGCTTTTCGTTCACGTTCCCGTTCTTCCTTTCACGTTCCTTTTTCTTCTCTCCTGACATTTCCATCCCATCGAATCCGACGAAATCGACGACTGCGACGACAGAAGCACGAATTCCCACGGACACGGCATCACTCTCTTTGTCGACCAATCTCCCCTTTGCTCTTTCCCGTGCTATCATAGCTCCTGCCTTGTTTGCTCCAGTCTACCGAGGTGCTCCTTCTGCAACACTTTTTTGCGCGTTTTTCTATCGCGATTTTTTAATCACACTTAATATTTTATTTCACTTCATTCATCCATCCACCTCATCACCATCGCGTTCGCGCACCGTCCCATCGACAGCTCGATACCGATACCGACACCCTTTTCTCCTTTCCACACACACAATGTCTGCCATCCGCACGTCCACATTAGCCGCCGCCCCGGCGCGCCTGGCTCTGCGCCGCTCGGCACCGCGCCGCTTCCAGTCGACCTCTTCTTCGTCCTCGTCGACCTCGTCGGCCTCGTCGGCCTCCACATCCTCCACAACCGCAACCGATGCCGCCTCCAAGGCACGGCAGACGGCTGCGGACGTCACGTCCAAGGCCACGCAGGGCTTGACGCGCGTCACCTCGGCGGCCGGTCCCGCCCTGGCCGGCGCTGCCCGCGGCCTGAGCTCTGCGCTCGGCCGCGTCGGCGGCCGCACGGGTCGCTTCATCAACTTTGTCGAGCGTGCGTTGCACCCCACCATTGTCGCATTGTCGCCATGGATTCCCGTTGAAACAGTCGAGAAAAATCTAACAAGTTGACCAGGCCAAACCCCCTTTGTCGTCTACTACTCCCGCGTCGGCCTCGAACTCGGCCGTCTCGTCTTCCGCAACCAGAAGATGGCTCCTCCGTACGTGACTGGATGATGAACAAAAGAAGCAGAGACGGACCAGGGACGGACAAATTGCTAACGCTTCTTCTTTAGCCCCTTGGCCACCTTCCAGACTGCGTTCCAGAACGCGTGGGTGCAGCTCCAGAACCCGGCCCAGCTGCTCCAGAAGACGACTGCTTTCGCCAAGTCCGCCCGCAACCTCACCCCGACGCAGCTGGCCGCCGGTGGCGTTCTGGCCGCCGAGATCCTGGGCTTTTTCACCGTGGGCGAGATTGTCGGCCGCTTCAAGCTCGTCGGCTACCACACCACCGCCGCCCCGGCTGCTGCCCACTAAGCCCGTCGCTGATTGCAGTGGGCAGTTGCGAGAGTGTGTGGTGTGATGCGTCAGGGCGAAGAGAAGAAAGGAGAGGGGCAAGAACGTTTTTGAGGTGAAGCCTGGGCGAGACTGGCGGAAGAGAGACACGCCGGCTGTCTTTTCCCGTTTCTTCCTGCCTTTTCTCTCTCGTGGCATGGCATATTTTATCCCCTTTAATTTTCTACCATTGTTTTATCTTTCTCACCCTTTCCTCCCTTTTGTTTTTATCTTCTTTGTTTATCGACTGTTCCCACTACGTTTTTTTGCTTCACTACCTTTTTTGCTCTTCATCTTTTATCTTTTGTGTTGTTTTTTGTTCCTTTTCCCCATGTAAAACTTCCAAAAACGTGTACATCAGTTATTGCATCAATACGAAATCGGCAGGTTTGAGATGGGAACAGGTAGGTTAGAAACAGGCGGGCAAAGACAGGGCCCTTGGCGGATGACTGGAAGGCAGAAAGTTTGTCAAAGACGGTTAGTTCATGTCGAATCTCCATCGATATGAACGCACGCTTTGTCACGTTTCTTGTCTTTGTCAAGGTTGATTTGCACTTTATACTACTGCAGATTACAATAGAAAAAAAATACACAATATATTTTCATTTATCATTTATCATGACCGTAGGGCATCCCAAAGAAACTTTGTCCGTATGTTCGTTTCATTACAGTATTGGGTATTATATAAAGAAGATATCTGCTCCTGCCAGTTTGACAACGGCCTGTCGTTCCTGCCGTCTGCACACTCTGCGGTCCTTCTATGTCTTGCGTGCAAAATGCCATCACTCCTTCCCTGCCGGACTACCGCTCCTGCCGCACTGAACACTTTGCTGTCCAGATGTACCTGCGAGTGTTGATTAGCTTCATTCCCTCTCCTCCCCTTGACTTCGCTGTGCGCCTTTCTTTCTTCTCGCTTACATTGTACAACTTGCGGTGCATGACGGATCAGCCACCTCGCGCCGCACGTCGGCCATCAGGCGGTAGATGGTGTCCAAATCATAGCCGGCGCGCAGAAGCGGCATCAGCGTCAGGCCCTCGAGCCAGAGGTCAAAGGCGCGCGGGAACCACTTTTCGACACCGCCGCCGCGACGGCCACTTGGACTGCTGCTGTCGTGGCTGCCGTCGTTGTCGTTGTCGTTGTCGGTGCCGTCTTCCGCTGCCTCGTCGTCGTCGTCGCTCAAAGGAAATACCGACCGAGAATGTGACGAGGGAGACGATAGCGAGGACAACGACGGCAGCGACGTCCGTGTCCTTGTCGGGGATGCCGAAGTCGGGGATACTCGCGACGCCGACGCTCCAGCAGACTCTCTCCGGCCAAACGGCAACTGGTACGTGTCCTGGCGCACATCGACAAAGCCGGCTTCGTGCAGCGCCAAGCGCGTCTCGGTGGGGTCCACGCGCAGCGGCCGACCGGTGCGGTCCATGCAGTTGAGCAGGAGGCTGGCCCAGGCAGCCAGGCACGGGGACGATGGGGTGTTTCCGCTTCCGCTGCTACCACCACCACCGCCGCCGCCGCCGCCGCCGCCACCGATACTACTGCTACCCGCTCCTCCAGGCAATGCGGGCCGGGGAGTCCAATCGATCTCAACGTGCTCGATATAGCCGACGCCCGGGATGAGGTGGCTGTGGACGGTGGCGTACAGGCTGGGCCAATTGCGGACGACGCCATTGAGGCATCGGATGTGAATGAGGTCCCACGAGGCGGTGCCGAGCAGCCAATGTGACTCGATGTCAAGGCTCTGGAACTTGGCATTGGATGGTATTCTGATGGCACATCATCCAAGTTCAAAGCAAGGTTAGTTGATGAAAACGCCAATCAGATGGATTCAGGCAGGCGGGGGAGCGAGGACGGAGGAAACATACAAATGCGGCTGGAACGGAGCCAAGTCGACGCCCCAGACTTCAGACCGGCCGGCATACAGGTCGGCCATCTCGACTACCCAGAGCCCCGTGCCCGTGCCGAGGTCGAGGATGCGCAGGTGCTCGCTGGGCCGAAGCGGTGCACTATGGATGCGAGCACGGCCGCCGCCGCGGGCAAGGGTGGCCGCTTTGTGGAAGAGATCCATGCTGTGCGCCTCGACAGAGTCCCAGGGGAACAGGTACTGTGGACTGGTGGCTAGGAAATGCCGGCCATGTTGTTGTGTGGTCAGACTAGCGGCGGAGGGCGAGGATCGTCGTCCGGCGGGCGGCGAGCGTTGGGACGAGCCGCTGCCGTGTCTGCTGCTGCTGCCATGGCTGTCTTCGTGGGCAAAGGGTATGAACGACCCAAGGCTGTTGATGCGAGTGTGTGGGTTCCGGGGAGGGAGAGACATGGGGGAAATGTGGGCTGTGGACAGATGGACAAGTAGAGTTGAGGCTATTATGTGGAAGGAGAGACAACAACAAAAGAGAAGCAAAGGCGAGGGGTAAAGGCAGGAGGTATATGGGTGCTGAAGGAATGGAGGGGAACAAGAGAGGAGACGAGAAGACGAAGAGGAGCCGACAGAAGGAGGTAGGGATAAGGGTCAATGGCAGGGGTGGAGGATCGGAGCGAACTTTGAAGGAAATATGGGATCGGGCTCGATATATCGTTCTCTATGCAAGTCATATCCGTTTCTCATTCGTATTTATTCTATTTTGTCTTAGAGTTGCATTTCGAGTATATTCTTTCAGCTTGAGGCACGGGCCGCAACGGATACGAAGATGGCAACAAGAAATAAAACATAAATAAAAGTGACAATAAAAAGCGTCGAAGTAATACTGAATAGAACAAAGAGGAGGACAGAATAACTAAGAAACAAAAAAGAAATTCATCAAATGACGGAGCATTCAATAATTGCTGAGTTTTTGGGTGGCCGTTGTTTGCGACAAGGCAAGACAACACAGAACGAAGACTCGGAAAGGAGCAACTCGAGGGAGAAAGAAACTGAAGAAAGTAAACAAACAGCGAGAGGACAGGGACAATGGCGCCGACAAAAGACGAGAGAGAAATAAATCAACAAATAAAAGAAAACATAAAGCTGGAGGGAAAAAAAATCAAAACGTTCGGTCGGGTGAGACATGAAATGTGTCAAAACAAAGCGCATCAAAACAAGAAAACACGGCTGTGCCCGGTGCAAAGACTCGGACAGAAACACAACACGCTCGCGAAACAACGCTGTATCATAACAAAACGTAGGGCCGGATTTGTCGAGGCCAAAAACACAGCTGGCTGCAGGTCCAGGAAAGGCCTCGAGACAGGCCAGGGCTTCCTTTCGGCAATCTAACGGTGTGTTGTCAGTGACAGTCGGTGGAGAACACCGGCAGGAAAAGAAGAATAGAAAAGAACGAAAAGAGAGCAGAGACAAAGAAAAACAAACGCGGCCGTTCCGTGCGACCTTATTGTGCCAAAAGAGGAAGCGGACAAAATATACGACGAGCGAGGCCGGGTCCTGCATCATAGAAACATCAAGCATGGCATCGTGTGGCTGGCCTGGTCAGGCCCGGCCCATGACGGGCGGTTATGAACACATAAGAGGGGGAAGGACAAAAAAAAAAAAAAAAAAAAAAAAAAAAAAGAAGGAGGAAACAAGGTGTGACCCACGATCTCCGCATCTATGATTCGGCCGCCTGAGTAGGCCTGTGGCGTTCGTATTGTTCCTGCAGCCCACAGGACGGACAAGGGAAAGAAAAGAAAACGCTTGGAGGCCCGGCGCCTCGCTGACCATTGTTGTTTGGTTAAGGGATTAAGGGGATGTCACGAAATCGGACAACCAAGTTGGCCGACTATATTTTGTGCAAGTCCGTGGTTGGTCAAGATGGTATTTTAATTTTGAAAATGACCGGATGGTCGGTGCTTTCTGTGAAATTGTCTTGGAGACGTGTAAAAAAGAGAGAAAATAATAATAATACAGAGACTAGACTCCGACATAGCCATGTGCAGTCTCCTTCTTTTCTTCCACACCCTCAACTCCGGCGGCAAGGCATGACCACAGAGTCGCATCTTGCTTCCCACCGATCCCTTGCCGTTTCCGCTTCCGAGCGCTTGTCAGCTCCTTTTCAGCTCCTTCTCAGCTCCTTTCGTCTGTCGGCTCATCCTTTACCATCCTTCATTTCAGCAAAATCGCACATATTGAGAAGAATACGACGTTGTTTGCCGCCGGGCACGTCTATGTCCAAGGATTAGGAGAGAGGTTGTGATTAATTGGAAATAATAAATAACGTACATTATTTTTTTGTATTTCTTTTTTTTTTTAAGAAAAAATGAATGAATGAAAAGAAACAAAGAAACAAGTCTATAATTCTTCACTACATCCACGTTGCACACAACGTCCCGCTTACACGCCACGCATGCAAGACACCTCACAAGCGCGTGGTCACCGCCTATTCACATCTCGAATAGGTCGTGAGATGCAAACCCCCATTCCCATGCGTCCTGCTCCATCCTCGCCCCCATGTCCCATATCACGCATGCCAACCCGACGACGCTCCTTGGCGCCGGTTCGACGTCCATGTTCCCCTTCTGTCCAAGTCCTACCCCGCCAGTCTTTCCGCGAAAAACAGACATTCAGTCCAATCAACCCCTGCACATCGCCTCGACCGCCTCTTTTTGTTCTTGTCTTCTCTTCCTGTCTTGGAAAGCCCTCCGTTTCCTTCATCCCGACAGGCTGGAATAGCTAGCACTGGCCCTAGTTTACCGTCCATCCATGGTGACTGCCTGATCTGCGTGTGACCAACATACGAAGTAGGCCAGCATGCATGAGATGAGCTTTCTTTTTGTTACTTTTCTTCTTCTTTTTTTCTGCCATTGGTTTTAACTGTCCGTTTTCGATTTGTTGTGTCTTCTTCGTCCTTCCTTCACTCCACTTACTCTCAGACTACGTCGTTACAGCCCCCAATGGCGCAGAATGCACCCGCTTCCGCAAATTAATGGAGAGAGCAGAGACGGATACTACGACGAAAACAAAGAAAAGAAACTAGCAGAGACGAATTAAGCCCCGATGATACCCAACGCTCCTTGGAGAGAACACAAAGACCCATGACGCAGGATGCAGGAAGCCCAAGGATGCAGAGGATGCAGCCACAGGGGCCCAGGGCTCGGGAACGGCCAATTGGGTCCGAGGATCGTGGACGGGGGGTATGGAGATTTACTTTGGGCAAGTCAAGCAAACATGGACCGGATCTCTCTTTTTTATTTTTATTTTGTATTTTGTATATTATTTTTTCATCCGGGAAGAACGACAGTCGGGCCGACCCAACAAGCCGACCGGTGAGCAACAATTGAAAACAGGCAACCAAGAAGGAAGAAGGTGGATATACGCTACATGGAGGCTGGCGATGCTGTCTGTTTACTTTGGGTCCTGATTTTTTAATTTTCTATTTTTTATTGCACATTGCCATTCACGCCGTGTTTCAGAACGATTTCTACAACGCAAGGGACTGCCTAGCAAAGTCACAAATGGAATAAAGAAAAAGAAAATATCTCCTGGCAGGAGAAGCACAGCACCGGTGAGTTAACTCTTTGAGACCCGACGTAGCTAGACGTGGGACAGGACTTCTGCGCGCCAACGACCTCTCCGTGCGTCCTTGGATCAAGCAAAGGCACCATCTGAAAAAGAAAAGAAAAGTCCGAATGGTCTCGACCAATTCCAGTGGCGTGCACTGCATATGCAGGTTGATGCAAGGGGACCGGTGAAGGAAGAAGAAAGAATATGAACAAAAGGAGTTAAAAAACAGAGTAATGACTGAAGAAAGAAAGTGGAAATGCCAACGATCCTTACGTGCGTATGCCTACATAACAGAACACATCACCTACCCTTCCACATCTTACAGCACTATGCTATGGTCGGTTGGTTCTGTGTTGTTCTTTTATGGGCTTGAAGTGGCTGGAGTTCTGCCGTTCTAGAATGTCGGCTGTGTCGTCTGTTGGAACCGAGACGAGGAAGGGAATTAATAAAAAAAGAGAGAAAGAATACCAGAATACCATCGGATCGGGTCTTTATTTTGTGGTCTGTCTGTGAAAAAGCCCATCACACGTATCGTGGCTACGCCAGCGACCTGTTTGCCAACGGCACGAACGTGGACAGAGTACGGACTATGGACAATGGGAGCAAAGTTTGGATATGGATGCATTGTACATACAGAATCCAACCTTTGTCGGATTTGGCAAGTCGCCGTATTGTCGAGAATTAAAGGTGACAAAGGCTGGAACTGGAGAGGTGGTTCCGAGACGCAGACCACAAGCCATTGAGCGTTTGAATGTGAGCTGGAGATAAAGGATGGTGGATAAACGACAGAAAGAGATAAAGCAGGTCTTATGTTGCACTCGCGGACGGTAGAAAATGTCTCTTTTAACGAATGTGTCCCTTGCATCGAAAAGACAACAAGTTGCAAAAGCCTGTCATTTTGTCGGAAAAAAAACACAAGGCACAGAAATACGACGAAAATGCAAGGAATGAAAGACGAAGGCCAAACAGGAGAGCCAAGACAGAGGGCCTCGAAAGTCAACCACATACGACGAACCAGAATGGGACGAAGCGAGACAGAAACATGGACGACGTAGAAGACATGAAAGACTTCAGAGACAAGGGAGAGTTGCCCCTTGCTGAGCAGTTATCTCGCCTGGACTGGGATGAAAAGCAAGACAAAAATGAACTCCACACATGTCTACTCAAGGCGCCCTAACAAAATGACAGAGACAAAGGCCAAACAGATCAAAACGGACAATGCACTCGGCATCACAAAATCCAACAATAAATCAACAGAGGACGAACGCCCTCCCTCACCCCTCGGCCTCCATTTCGTATGCGTTGGACTTGTGCTTGGGCACAAACTTGAAGTCGGGATGTGCGGGGCCCAAGAACATTTCACTGTATTGTTTGCATTGTTAGCATTGTTAGCATGGCCAGCAGAGTCAAAGAAAAGAGGCCACAAGGATGCAAACGCCAAACCCACCTGATCTTGATCCAGTCCTTGTAGTTGCGGCTCGCCAGCAGCGTCTCCAGCTCGTTGCGGCCGCGGAAGGCCGGCGGCCGGTCGTTCAAGCTGGGCGGCAGGTACTCGAGCAGGCCGACGGGCACATACCGCGTCGCAAAGCTCAGGTACTCGAGCAGGAACCGCCGCGTCGTGCCCAGGCCGTACTCGTCCGTGCCCCAGGCCTCCATGCCGTACCGCGCAAACCGCTCCACGTACGCCAGGCGCTCCGTCGCCGACTTGTCCAGGTACTGGCCGGCCTGGATCTCCTCAAAGAGCCACGGCTTGATGAGGGCGCCGCGGCCAATCATGACCGCGTCGACGCCCGACTGCGCAAGCTGCTCCTGGTGCTGCACGTGGCTGTAGCAGTCGCCGTTGCCCAAAAAGAAGATGCGCGACGCGTTGGCCTGCGTGCGCGCGTCCGGCTCGCGCACCGTGTCGGCCAGCGCGTCGCGCTGCTCGTTGTACGACCGGACCAGCGCGGCGCACTCGGCAATGTAGCCCCAGTCGGCCGGCTTCTTGTAGCGCTGGTTGCGCGTGCGCCCGTGCAGCGTGATGGCCGCGCAGCCCGGCGCGCCCAGCCGCGCGCGCGTCTCCAGGCCGCCAAACGCCAGCCGCTCAATCACCTTGGGCGCCGTCGGGCTGTTGTCGCGCACGCCGATGCGCAGCTTCGCCGTGATGGGCACCTCGCCCGACACCGCGTTCATGCCGCGGATCATGCGCTCCAGCTTGTTGTGCGACTCGAGCAGCCCCGACCCGCCGCCCGTCTTGTAGATCAGGTCGATCGGGCACCCGCAGTTCATGTCGACGAGCCGCAGGTGCGGCAGCAGCCGCGTCATCGCCTCCGTCGCCTTGATGGCCATCCACGGCTGGTTCGCCGCGATCTGCGCGCCGAACTTGATGTCGCGGCGGTTGTCGTAGCCCGCCACCGGCGTCGTCGGCGTGTAGCGCGGCGCCTGGATCTCCGACGCGTGCGCCTTCATCAGCGCCCACTCCGGCTGCTTGCCCGTGACCATGTCCACCGCCAGCGCCATCTCCGAGTACGTCACCTCGCAGCCGAGCTCGACGCACAGCCGCCGGAACGGCAGGTTGCCCTGCGTCGTCAGCGGCGCCAGCGTCGGCGTCTCCGGCCCAAAGTAGATGCGCCGCTTCTCCGACGGCAGGAACGGCGGATCCACAAACTGGGCCCGGTAGTCTTGCACCAGTGTGCTCACGCCGGCGTCTCGCGGCTTGCTTTCGTCCGCGCCGTTCTCTGCGGTGGGAGCGGCACCGTCGCCGCCGTCTGTCGTCGTCTCTGCCGTCGAATCGGCAACCTCTTTTGTCGCGTCCGTGCCGTTTGCGTTGTAGATCTTCTTGACAATGTTCAGCTCGCCGTCGAGCCACCTGATGTACTGCTCCGACCGGCTCAGATCCATCCGCCGGCGCGTCAGGTTCTGCTTGTCCATGGCCGACACAATGTTGACAACGCCGGGACGTGCATCGTCGAGATCGTCTGCCGCCTCCGTCGACGCCTCGTCGCTGTTGCTGCTGCCGCTGCCCAGCAGCGTCAGCTCCGTGCGCCCGTCTTCGTGCTCGACCTCCTTCATGTGGCTCCCGACAAAGCGGCACTTCCAGCCCGACGGACACCGGCCAAACGCAGTAAACACCGGACACTTGCCCTCAAACGTCTCCAGGTCGCCGCGGCGGCCGCCCCCATACAGGTATTTGCGCAGGTCATGCAGCGCCCGGCAGTTGTCGCCGTAGCGGCACGACTTGGGCGAGAACTCGTTGGAGTGCGACACCGACGAGCACAGCTTCTGGGCGTCCCGCGAGCGGCCAAAGTCGCGGTCCTTGTTCTGGCCGCCCTTTTTGCGGTTCTTGCGTCCGCTGTGGCCGGCGCTGCCGCCGCCCCCTTCACGGCCGTCACGGCCCTCTGCCGTGTCGTCGTCCACATCAGCTTCAGCGCGGGACCCTCTTGGGTCGTCGCCGATGCCCTTGATCAGGTATCTGTCTTTCTGTCAGCCTGATTTTCATATGTACGTAGTGCAATTATGAAGCGAGACAGCCTCAACCGCAACGCACTCTTCCTTGATCATGGCGATGCCGTGGATCTTCTCGCGCTTCGCCGGCCCCTGCACACCGGCATCTGTCTTGACCCGCTTCTGCCGGTGCTCCGTGTCGTCGCCATGGCCCTCTGTGCCTGCAGACGGCGCATTGCTTGCAGGCACGTCCGCTGTGCTGGTTTCGGCTGCGGCGCCATTGCCAAGACTCCGCTTTACTGGCGAGCCAGGTACAACAGCCTCTGCGGTGTCGGTCTGCACGTTGGTATCTCCGTTTTCAGACACCATCGTATGAGATCCTGTCTTCGGGCGCCGAGACAGGAATATGCGTTGTGCTGTTGAGCTGCGGAGTGTAAATAAGAAAGAGCTCTAAGGAAAGGTTTTATAGACCCGATATATGCATATCAATGCACCAACCGGGGCGCTTCAGCTTATCCGGGTGTGAGCGTTAGACCTAACAAGCTCTCGCAGCCGTTTCCGAACATGGCACAAAAGCTCTCTGCTTTCATCGGTCATTCCTAAATCCCGAGTTTTAATCAATTGGGCCACTTTGTCTCGCGTTTCGTCGCATGAACTCGATGTCTTGTCACAGCTATCACCACATCTCGCCGTTGACTGCCGCTGCTCTAGCGCATGCTAGCGCCTCACTGGCCTTAACCCACTGAAGCGTTCCAGGGGGTTTGTCCAGGTGAGCCTGGCCCAGTCGTTCCTGCCAATCCACGACGTAATAATCAGGGCGGGGAGGGAAAGGAGGGGGCTCGTGCACCCTGGAAGTAAAAAAGGCAAGACCGTGTGGGCGGGCTGCGGAAGCGGCGTCCCACTAGCTCCGCACAGCTTCCAGGTGCTCTCCTTCCCAAAGCCAAAAGGTCCAGCCCGTCTCACATCTGGTTCTGTCTACCGCCGCACTCTCGACACACAGACCCAACGAACAACCACCAACCGAGGACTCGCCGTTGGATGCACACCTCGCCCTGGTAAACATTGGCAGCCCCTTTCTGGCTTGGTCTGGGTCTCACCTCCTCTCCCGCTCCTCTTGGTCCCTGCGAGCAGTGTTTCGGGCCTCGTCGTGCCCTCGCCTATCGACAACCTCGTCGTTGACCTGGAACTTTGCTGCATTTTTTTTTCTTTTTCTTTTCGTTTTTCTTTTTCTTTTTTGTTATTTCGTCTCTGGCGATCTCCACCTCGCTGACCTGCTGGCGCTATTCGACCATCTTGGTATCTCAAAACATAGTCACCTCCACGAGCTTCGCCTTTACCCACGCCACTCTCCTCGCCGGCCTTTGCAATTCCCAATCGTTCCCCACACGACTATCCTCTGTCGATACGCCGCTTTGCCGACAGACACCCTCTTCCCACTCGAGCTAGCATCGGCCAGAAACCTCGCCCCGTGGCCAATGCGCCCTGTGGCTCGGCATGGCTGACACAGGCCGCCAGACGCCGCGCTCGCCCCAGCGCTCCAAGGTGATGCGGTCGCAAAAGATCCAGCAGCTGGCCTCGCCCGCCGAGGACGAGGCCTCGACCTTTGACGACAGCCACCACCAAGGCCACGGCAGCGGTGGTGGTGGTAGCAGCGCCCGACGGCGACGTGAGCAGCGCGACCGTGCCAACAGCACGACCAGCACGTCAAGCGCCAACACGACCGCACCCCCCACCGCCGCGATCCCAGTTCCGCCCATTCAGCGCAGCCACACGCCCGGCCACCTGTCCACCAAGAGCCAGGACCGCCGGCGCAAGCCCACCGAGCTGTCCATCCGCCAGCGGTCGCAGTCGTCCAGCTCGCTGTCTGCGGCGGCCACCGCCGCTGCTGCCGCCTCGGCTTCGTCAGCAGCGCCCGTGCCGTCGTCCAACGCAGACTCGCCCACCACGTTCCACCTCTCCGTTTCCAACTCCAAGGCTCTCGGCCGGGCCGGCGGCGGTGCCGGGCCACTCACAACCTCCGTGTCCACACCATCGGCACGGTCACCCTATCGCGGCGGCACCGGTAACGGGACCGGCAACAGCGACGTGCACTCCACCGGCGGCGGTAGCGGCAGTGGCAGCGATTCCCAACCCGCGGCCGAGGGAGATGGCCGCCGCAGGCCATCGGCTATGCGGTCAACATCGGCCATTGCCAGCAAACCGAGTGTGTATGGCAATGTTGCGGGGGGCGGGTCGTCAAGCACAGTACGCTCGGGCGGCGGCGGCGGCGGCGGCGTAGGCAGTAGTTCGTCGTCACGCGCTACACCAGCAAGCACAACAAGCGCAAGTGGTGGCGGCCGTGGGATTGGAGGTGGTGGCGGCGGGAACACCAGCGACCGACTGTCCAAAGGACGACCCGCCGGCTACACGGCATTTCCGCCCTTGGCTGACCCAAGCACAGCGCCCGACGTGCTGCCCGCGCCCTCGTCGGGCATGTACTGGACACGGGCGCCCGTGTCTGGTGTGCGGCATCCCAAGCTGCGTGCGCACACGGCGACGCTGATCGGCTCCAACATCTACGTCTTTGGAGGCTGCGACGCGCGCGCGTGTTTCAACGACCTGTACGTCTTTGACGCCGACTCGTTTCACTGGACCAAGCCGCACGTCGTCGGTGATATCCCGCTTCCCCTGCGCGCCATGACGTGCACGGCCGTCGGCAAGAAACTCGTCGTCTTTGGCGGTGGCGACGGCCCCCTGTACTACAACGACGTCTACGTGCTCGACACCACCAACTTCCGCTGGTCGCGCCCGCGCATCTCGACCGATCGCCCGCTTCCGTCCAAGCGCCGCGCACACACGGCCTGTCTCTACAAAAACGGCATCTACGTGTTTGGCGGCGGCGACGGCATCCGCGCGCTGAACGACGTGTGGCGCCTCGATGTCAGCGACACGACCAAGATGGTGTGGAAGCAGATCAGCGGCACGCCCGACACGGACTCCCCAGACGTGGACGGCGACGGCGGCTCTGCTGCCGAAGGCGGTCCCTCGTCCGCTGCAGGTACGTCCTCGGCGGCGGCTGCGACGGCGGCCAAGGACACGGGAAAGGCCACCGGCCTCGGCGTGACTGGCGCTGGTCTCGCGGCCGGATCGTCCACGGCCACGTCCACGGCCACGACCAGCAAAAACGGCGCGGCGAATCCTGCGCCGTCCACGGCACTCTTTAGCAGCAAGGAGGACCCGGCTGGGGCGGCGTTCCTCAACCAGCCGCACCTGCTGAACCAGGCGCGTCCCAAGGCCCGCGGCTACCACACGGCCAACATGGTGGGCACCAAGCTCATCATCTTCGGGGGCTCGGACGGCGGCGAGTGTTTCAACGACGTGTGGGTGTACGACGTCGAGACGCACCTGTGGCGCGCCGTGTCGATCCCCGTGACGCACCGGCGGCTGTCGCACACGGCCACGATTGTCGGGTCGTACCTGTTTGTGGTGGGCGGGCACGACGGCGCCGAGTACTCCAACGACGTGCTGCTGCTCAACCTCGTGACCATGACGTGGGACCGGCGCAAGGTGTACGGCCTGCCGCCGAGCGGCCGTGGGTACCACAGCACGGTGCTCTACGACAGCCGGCTCCTCATGATTGGTGGCTTCGACGGCGGCGAGGTCTTTGACGACGTGTGGACCCTGGAGCTGGCCGTGCACGCCTACTACTCGCAGATCAGCCACTTTACGATTGAGGTGTAATCCTCGATGTGTTTCGAACATTTTCTCTTCTTTACAACGGCGGTGTTTGTTTATGCGGGCTTGGTTGCCATTCGCATTTTGAGCTTTTGTATTTTGACCTGGGTTTTGTTACTATCCGATTGCCTCTTTATGTACGGAGCACGAGTTTATGACATTTTTTTAACAAGAAAGACGCAAGGGCGGCAGGCTTCTATGTCGGCAGAGGGGATTCTTACCAAAAGTAGCGCAGCATAGAATAGACATGGAGCATGTTGTTAATATTGTTTCGTGTGCTATCATGCATCTCCACTCAGATGTTCATTTTGAACGTTATCTTTCCGTTATATCCTCCAGTATAGTATGCTCATTCTATGCCTTGGATCAGAAAATTGACAAATAAACAGAATACAGCTGCTTTTTCTGTCCGACAAGCAGGATTGTTGTAGACTCTGTACCAAAGACCAACGGATTCAGTTTAAAAAGATATGCAAAACAGTAAACGCCTTGTCTCCTATAGATCGAACCGCGAAAGGACAACAAATAAAACAAACGCCGTGTCCATGCAAAAAAATCAAGATGAAAAAAAGATAATGTGAGAGGGGAATGGTGTATGTCGCGGGTCGCAGGCAACGTGTAGGTCGTAACGCGCGCAAGAGGATGTCAAGTGACAATCACTCCTTACGACTGCGTCAGTTGTGTTAATACAGATGATGCAGCCGGACGTGTGCCGTCTTTTGAGACAACACCGGGGGGGGGTCAATTCTCAGCGGGAACACCAACTTTGTTGTCTTGTTTGGCCGAGGGAGCGGGCGCGGCCTTGGCATTGGCCTCCTTCTGCTCCTTGGACTTGGCCAGGCGACGCTCCTCGGCGGCGACCATGTCCATCCACAAGTCCTGGCCCTCGTACTCCTCCTTGTGGATGCGCTTCTCAATCAGCTTCTTGTGCTCCGGGTCGTTGGGGTCGACGACCTTGACCGTCTCCCAGCGGCCCTTGCCCGACTTGGCGTCGCTCATCTCGAGCGTGGCCGTCCCCAGGATAACGGCCAGCGTCAGGCCCTGGGCGTACACACGTGCCTGGACAACCTTCTGGGCGGTCGTCAGGTACTTGTTGCGGCCGACGAGGGCCAGGGCGATGCCGATCGAGGCGGCCCAGCTGCACATGACAATGGAGTAGCGGTTCTCGCGCGCCCACTGCAGCGTCTTGTCCTTGCCGGACTCGCTGCTGCGCAGCTCGCTGACCGCGCGCTGCGACGCGTCCTGGTAGCCGTACATGGAGTCCCGGGAGCGGGCAAAGGCAATGGAGTTGCGCTCGGCGACGATGATGGCGGACGCCGAGGTCGCCGAGGTGACGAGGAAGGCGCGGAAAGGCAGGGTCAGGTTGCGGACGCCGGCATAGCGGCGCGAGGCCGCGGTGAGACCGAGCAGGCCGACTGCAAGGCCAGCCGCACCGCCGATGAAGCCGCCACGCAGGACGGCGTCGTAGTGGGCCTTTTCCTCGTCCTTGGTAACGACCTTCATCGTGGCGAGTGCGTGTCGACGGGATTGGTCGACGGGGTTGGCAGATGGGGTGTCTTTTGCGAAAGAAGAGTTCAATTGACAATGTCAACAGGCACGAGTTGTAGGCGGAGAATGGAGGAAGAGGAAAAGTGTCGATGTTCTTTTTTTGGCGGGGTGAGAGAATAAGAGGCGAGGAAGGTCCCGTTGGCTGAATTGGGAAGCTTACGGGGTTTGCAGAATCGACTGACGTCTTCCTTTTCCCGGTGTTCGGGTAGGTGCGATTCGCTGCAATTGGCGTTTTGGCAGGCCCTTGTGTGGAGACGGCAGATAGGGAAGGAGCTGCTGGTTCGCAACACTAAACGCTGCAAAGAGCGGGTGGGAGCTAAATTTGAGAGGAAAGAGCGCCTAGAATCGCGTGCGTCTCGCTTCCGCGGAAATGGCCTGCTTTCTGTAATAGGAAGGATGTCGTACGTTGTTTGCGATCAGTGCTGTGAGGACTGGAACAGCAGGGACAGTCGGTTTGTAGGCGGGGAGGGTACAATTGGTTCTCGGGTTTCTGCTGTCGAGCTCCAATAGTGATGTCCCCCAATAAAGTATGGTGTTTTGATGCAATGGATGCAATGGATGCAATGGATGCAATGGATGCAATTGGCGTATGCGGTGTCTTGATGTTATCTTCGGACGAGACTGGAGTGGCAAACAGGAACTTGCATGGCCATGGGAAGAGAACCTTTATATCTTGACAATGTGCTGCTGCGCCGAAACCCATGTGAAGGACACGAGGTTATCTTTCTTGACTCCCTGGTACCTGAGCGGCCGTGACGTCAAATCGCATTTCACGGGAATTAATTCTGTCAAAAAAGACCATGAAAATCTTATTCTAGAAAGAGCGTTCTCTTTTCTCCGTGGACACCTTCCGTCGTTGGCGTGTGTGCGCATGCCTGACGCAAAATTAGGCACTACGGCGGTGCATTTTGGCAGGAGCAGAGGCCGTTCAAACCCCGATTTTCGTCCGTCAGAGTCCCGCAAAGCGTGGCACAGGGAAGGCACGAGGAACGTTCCGGGTTCTCCCATTTCGCAGGTCAGTATTACGGGGCCTTGCAGGCACAGTGGTGCCATTACACCATATCTGCCACCACTATTGACGGGCGTTTACGTGGCGCCCAGAGAATAGGGATTTGAAGCACGCGAATCCCACAGCACTCACAACCAGTCTGATCACTAAAGGTATGCTTGACAGCTGTTCAGATGAGAATATGAACACACAGCCAGCCTGTTCTTTTTCGTCGCCGTTTGGTCAAGTCTGCAGTCGAAAAGGCTTAACCTCAGCCGACAAAAAGCGCAAATGCTATTCTGGGCTTCTGGAGACCGCGGCACGTTGTCATGCTTTTTCTTTACAGGTCGTCCGGCGAGAATCGGTTTGCTTCGTTCAGTTCTGATGTGCCTTCTGGAACAAATCGTAGCTTCCCTTTCCATAACGGCCATTTCTCGGAGACGGGCAAACACGGCAGCAGCGCAACTGTAAAGCAGGAATCAGCAGTCCGCAGGGGAAAATCGCATATTGGCGCTGGAAATTCGGGACTTCGGCGTCTGCTTATTAAGGCAGGTGGCTTGTTGGGGAAATTTGTGCCTTAGGCACGATTCAGTACCAGCTGCAGCCAACCAATCATATTGTCCTAACATGGCCATCCAAAGTAGTGTTAGTCCCCTGCAGGCCAAAAAGCGGTTGGCACTAACAGAACCGACCCCTGCCAAGCGAAGAAAGAGAGCAAAAAAAAAAAAAAAAGAAGAGACATTCGAAACAGCAAAGCAACTTTTCGGGACAGAAGGAAGTACGGGTGTTGTGTTTCTTTGGGATATATGTTGTTGAGGGTTAATCTCTACTGCAGAGCACGGAGAACATCGTAGAATCATACTCTCTTTTTTCCCGGGCCTCGCCCGAACAAAATTGAATCAAAGAAAAAGATCAGCGCAGCGAAGCGGTGATGAGAAAACATTCGAGGCAAGCCGTCTCCACCGGCCGCAACGGTGGTTGCTCCAACACACACACTCAAACAAAACGAGAGAAAAGAAAGGAAAAAAAAGCAGGGTTGCTACACAATCAAATCGGGCAATGGGTCGTGTGTGGACTTCATCGGACGGCGTTTAATCCTCTCCCCTTCATCCTTGCCTATCCACACCCCGTCTCCATTCATCCCTGTTTGACGATGCTGCTGAAGAAGACGGTGATGGTAAAGCAACTGGTTGTGACAAGAGCCGCCGCTTTCTATGTTTGCCTCGGTTATTCTCCCTTTTTCGCCCCCAAAAACGGACAACATATAGCAAGGTTGTACGCTTTCATTATTTATTTTCTTTCTTCTCATCCTTTCCCATGCAAGCCCCTCCATTTTCCTTTCAAAGTACGATATATAAGTAGCATGTCATACTATCAGTGCTTGTTTACTGCGAAATTCTTCGTGAAATTGATCCTGCTTGCGTCTACGGCGCACTTTCCTAGTCGTTTTTTCTTCTGTCCCGCGAAAGCGGTGAACGACTCGCCCACATTGTACCGTGGGGGCCTCTTTTTTGGTGGGCCGACTGGTGGGTGACGGTTCAAATTATGTTGTACAACAGAGTAGGTGTGATTTCTTCTCATATCGAAAACTCTGATCACATTGCACATGTTGTATACATTGCCATGCGCTGCATGCGCTGTATCCTGCATGCAATGGATTCTGAGGGCGAAAATCTAACGAGATGATCTTTTCTTTTTTTTAATTTCTTTCCATCGCTTTTTCGACTGCATGAGTTCGTTCCGCGCGCGGACCCGTCTGCAAGTCTCTGTATTATCTGCCTACGGTGGCCGTACCAAGGTCGGGCAGAGACTGGAACGGGGAGGCGAGATGAGCAACGAGAAAGAGGATTGGAGATGAGATGAAAAGGGGATGAAAGTCATCAGAAGCAGCGCCAGTTGCCGCGTATGGCGAGGACCGACGTCTTTTGAGACTTCAATCTCCCGCTATATGTATTACTTCGTTTGGAGTCCGTATTGTCCGGCGTAGGGCGGTAACGTGAAGCTGCATCATGGGTCCGGGGTTTGTTCTCTATATTTCCCTTCTCCAGAGGACGCTCGTTGCATACAGTTTGCCCTTTCCTGACTGTGGTGGACACCGTAGTACCTCGTCCTCCATCTTGCCCCCGGAGTGCGGATCGGGTGCCACTACGTATCTGTGGTTTGAAGGAGCGGGTTTCAAGACGTACTTGATATGGGGAGGTGGAGAACTACTCTATCAAGCAACAAAAAAAATCACTGCTATTCGAGATACAAAATAGCTTATCTCTTGCGTCGAAGCGACGTCTGTTTCACGCCCAGACGTTGCTATAAATGGAATCGGCTGGCATATCTAGATCAGTCGATCGACAGCATTGTCTGCCAAAATAGCAAGGGATATCTCGAACAAAACACTAATGCTGGTTGCTTGGTCTGGATTTACGGTACTTTTCGAAGAGAACGAAATAGGACACAACAAAGAGAAAGATGGAAGGGGGGACTCGAACGGGCCATGGGATTACAATAGAGTAGTTGCATTGCAACGGGATGAATGTGAATTGGCAATGGTAGGAGACATCTGGTCAACCCCCCAAACCCGCCAGGGAGGGCCTCATTGGGCACTTGATGTGCTCGCTAAGGCGAGGGAGGGTGTGAAGTCAAGGTCAAATGCACGAGCGATGTCAGGGCGAACGGCACCATGTGGCAGGAGGCGGCTGGACGAGTTGATTCGGAGGCTTGGTGTGGTGGCACTTGACGGCCCTGCCCCCAATGCCTTGCAAGGTCTTCTGGTTTCTGTTTTTTTTTTTTTGCCATGGCGGATGCCAACAACAAAGTGAACAGGAGAAGCACCGCAAAAGCGAGGCGAGATTGTCAGGTTTCTTCGACAGCTCGCCGCCTGCTGCCCCAGTCTCTCCCGATCTCCCTTCTCTCAACGTTGGTCGTCTCACTTGGACTCGCTTCGCCTCATCGACGTCGACAGGCAAAGCATCCAGCTGTCGTTTGTTTGCTTTGCCGGCCGTCTCCCACCCCATGCCCAGCCGTGTGTTCTCTTGGCCGTTTGGCCATGCCGTCAGCCGCGTCTGTTGCCGTCCTGCCGTCGTACCTGCCTCTGGGACGTTGCAATTCATGCACCGGCCTCCACGGAAGCGGTGAGCAGCAGAGAGCACACCCAAGAGCATTTACGACAGCCAAATAATGCCACGCGTGTGGCGATGCTTGGCAGTTTGCCGCCCCTACGAATATGCCAACTCCCGATTGTTCCTGGCACTATGTAAAGCTCGCTGTAATACGTCGTAATTACTTTGTATGCTAGCTTTCCAAGACTTTAGCGTGTGTGTCTGGGTCTGCTGGAGGACTTTTTTTGTTATTTCAACCCCTGGTTCTGTCAGCACGCCGTACGCCACTGCATCCAGCAGGCTGTATGACCGTGAATCTTGGGATCACAAAATGCGACTCCCGTCCCGACCAGGCGCATGCATATTCAGCAACGTGCAGCAGAGTCGCCAAGGTGTACTAAAGGCGCAGACTGTTGCGGTTCAGTTCTCTTGAAAGGACGATTATGGTTACATCGTGATGATGAGTCGAACATGGCCAGGCTGCCATTGCTATAGTGTCATGCATCCTCCCGGATGACTCTCTGTCGTTATTGCAAAGGCTCGCTTTCGATTGAGATGCCACGCACAGAGGTGGCTCACAGAGTCGACAGCCTGTAGTCGTATTGGGGGCGACGTTTGTGGACGGCGCATTCCTTCCCTGTCTGACCTTGCTTGCCGTCTGTGTTCCGGCACCCTCCTGCCAAATTCAGCCTTCAGCATGACACCCGTCTCTTGTCAAGCCGGGCCTACCACTTTGCCGTTTTATCGATTTATTGAATTATCGTCATCTCGGAAACTCTTCGCTCGCCACTTCTGTTGTTTCTCTAGAACCCTGGCCCAGCACGCTCCAGTCCTTCGGCAGCCTCGGTTCCACTTTCACAGAGCAAGAGTAGCCGAACGCCCCTGTAATCGGAGCCACACGACTGTCGTATTTGGTCCTTTGAAAGAAAGAGCGACCGCCGTAACGACCGTCTTAGGGCCGATGCACTACTTTGTAGGCGGTCCTTATTTTTCGACTTGCCGCTGCAACGACCCAGTCAGAGCCCACTTTGTCTGTAAGATACGGACGGTCGGGAAGGTGCCACCCATCCCGACGAGCTCTTCCTTTTACCATATTCGGACAAACGAGACCAGCGCGATCTGCCCCTGCCCTTTGGGTAAGCTGTTTGCTGTTAGCGCAGTTTTGTCGTGTTAGTCGGCCCATCGCCCTTTCCGTCTTTCTGCTTGGATGCATTGTGTCAACCAGACTTTTATTTCCCTTTATTTTCCGATTTTCTACTTCCACGCTGGGATGCTCTCACACTCTCTTTCAGCGCTTCACACCATCGGTTGGCTTCTCGCGTGCAAGCCTTGCCTGCTGGTCTCTCTCGTGCAAACGCTCGCTCACCATAGCTTCATTCCCCCTTGGCTTGTGCGTTTGTCTGACCCGCGGTCGCACTGTCCCTACGTCAGTAAATCGTACTTTTCCCGGCCTGCGCCTCTTGTTTTCTTTGTTCCCATGTCTCAACCTTTTTTATGCCAGGCGGTTCGGCTCCTTGTAGCGCCTTCCCTTGGGTCCTTGGGAGTGTTCGGTGGCGTACCTGCGATCGCCGTCTTCTGGGCTTCGGAGACGACCCAACGGATCGTCTCTTGCCAAGGACTAGTCTTTTGTGTTATCATTGTCCCTTCGTCCTCTCGCTCTTTGCACTCACCATATACAAAAGGCCAGCAAAGTCCAAACCATGACAAAGGTAGCCAAACCACAAGTGGCCAACCAAAGAGCCGCCGTGTTATGGACCCTTTCGGCCTCGTGTCATGAATCCTTTGAATGCGGAGCCGAAGTCTCGCTCAACAACGCCAGGCCGCCTCACTCTCTTCCTCTTCGTTTCCTACTTGTTTTGTTGTATGGCTTCGTGCAAGGCCTGTGGTCGATTGTCATATTTCCCTATTTCTCGCGGTTGTCCTGTGCTTTGCCGAGCTTTTTGTAGATCATAGGTCCTATGGTTCCACAGTCTCCAATCGAAATCAGACGACTGATTGTAGATTCGCGTTGATGAAAAGACGGCCTCGTAAGAAGTAGTAAACGAAAACGGAGAGCGATAATACTGTAGATGGTACGGAGTGTGAGTGGTAGTCGACCACAGACCAGCCGCCCGAGGAAGCTACACGACATGTTATATTCTATTTTACTTTTCTTTATTTTTATTTTCGTCTGTCAACCCCCGAATCGTGACTCGTTTCTGTTTGCCTGGTTTACCTTGCCTTTTCTCTTTCACACCCTTTCACATGTCTCGTCTTCTCGAGATACTCACCACTGCCATCCATTGTCGTTATTCCCGTCCTCCTCCTCCACCCCTCCCTCACTTTTGCCCAAGTTGGCTTGACTGTATTTTGACCTCGTTCGCACCGTCCTCTCAACTTGCCGTCGTTCCCTCCGGCCGCCTTTTCCACACTTGCGCATACCGCTTACAGTTCGCCGTTTCTGCGCCCTCGCCTTCCTCCTTCCTAGCCGCCCCAGGGAGATTTCATCGTCATGCCTCCTGTCGGCCCGCCTCACAACGCTGCACGCTCGTCCTAGACCTACATATCTTGCAAAACCGTAAGCCATAACTTTGTGCAAGCCGTTCCCGCGTTTCGGACAAAGAAAAGAAGACGGGGTATTGTCCTCTTTCTTCCCTTTTTCTTTTTCAGTCATTTTTGTCACCTTGCTTCTCTTCCTCTGGATCATTTTACTCGGTTTTCTGTCCTCCCCAACCTCTCGTGTCGTCTTTTACCGTCTCTCACCGTCCCTCACCGTCTCTCGGCTCATCCTGCTTCACCTTCACCTCGTTTTCTTTCGACTCGATTTTGTTCTGTTGTGCATGCCGCCTGCTCCGCCTAGCTGCAGTGTTGCTGATCCACACACCGCCCACAGCACTTACATGCAGGTCAATCCGGACCTCGATCGCAACGAGTGATATACAAGTGCAGCGACAAACAAAGTCTGTTTCCTATCTTTTCCAGCTCAAAAAACAGCTCCCTCTCGCCTTGTTGACGGCCGTCGCACCTGCACCGAGTGTCGTGCCTTCCAACACAAGCTCCCCGCCTTCCGTGAGCAGCGACGTCCACCGCGCGATTTGACACCTCTCGATCGCTCCTTCCGTTTTTACTGTTTCCCGAACCAAAACACACTCGCGCTCCTTCCGTTCCGGTCCTCCTTCCGTTGCCGTTGCCCTCGCCCCTTCTGCTCTTGTCCCATTTCCTACGTCCTTCCTTCATTCTCCTCTTCTCTTCCTTTCTCCTTCTCTTTCCCACAACGAAATAAACTCTCCTCACCTTTCCTCTTTCTCCTCCTCTCCCTCCTCTCCAAACAACATCGCCCTCGTTTCCCCCTTTGCCGTCCATCTTGACGATCTATCGGCGCCACACTGCATCCTTACTCACCGTCGTCATTATTTTGCCCACTTTGCGACGACGACGACGCGGACTCGGACGCACAAGTACGCACTACGCCGTCCAAGCATATTTGACTGCACGACTGCCGCACAGTCACTCTCCTACATATCGCTTCCCTTTCCATGCCTTCATCTTCATCCACTTCTACTCTCTATTCCCACGCCCCATCTGGTTACTGTGCTGGTCCTGCACTCGCGTTTGTCGCCCTAGGCCGCCTCGGCCGCCTGCCAACAATAAGCGCCACCCACACATACGGCACCAAATCGCCTGGCCGCTTGTTCCTCTCAGAAACCCACTCGTGCCACTGGAGACGCTACCACCACAAACTCCGTGAACGCACGCCCCTAACGTCCCCTGGGCCCAGATCCATCAGTCCTCGAGACGGCGCTAGTCCGCGCCGGTTTTCGCCTTTCTGTTCTTTGACGGGCTCGACGGTGGACGAGAGCCCCACCGGAGACGCCCCAGGCTCACTTATAGCCTCTTTTACAGGCTGCCAGGCGTCCAGGCTGAGCGCCAAGTACCAGAGACTTCTACCAGCCACAGGAAGACACCATGAAGAAGGCGTTTCGGTGGTTTGGTGCAAGTAGCGACGACCTCGCGTCGTCTCGTGCGACAGCCGCCTCAGCGTCCACGAATTCCCAGCAGCAGAGTGCGTCTGCAGCTACTCCTTCTGGAGCATCTCCCGCTGGCGCTTGTCCTCGCCGAGGTGCTCCCCTCGCCGCCGCCACCTGCCGCATGACGCCTGCAACTGCCACTGCGGCCCTTTCAGCACCACAGTCACGCATTTCTTCGCACGAGTCCTCGGTGCGCAAGACTCCTTCTCTTTCCCACAACGCCAGCTCCAGCACTGTGAATCCCCCCACCGCCCACGGCTATCGCGTATCTACTGACGCTCTTGCCACCACCGCTACCATCTCTTCCGCCTCAATTCCATCTTCACCCTCACCATCCACCTCATCCTCCCCCTCTCCTCTCCTTTACTCATCACACTCTCTCTCGCCTACGCCACAGCCAGCCACTCCTCATTCCGCATCCCCCGACGACAGCCTTCACAGCGACTTCGACCTCTTCCCCCACGCCCGCCTTGTCGACTCGGTTGCTCACTGCAGCCTGAAGGAGGTCTCCAAATTGCCGTCGCCTGTTGTCGTTCAGCCGCTGTCGTCGTCGGCCTCCCCTGCCGTCCTCACTCCCTCTTCGCCCGCTGTGACTGCATCCCCTGCGACAATCGTGCCCTTGAATCCATCGGCCCATCGACGTCTTCTGTCGTCGTCGCTTGCTGGTAGCTCTCCGCCGAGAAAGCATCGTCGTCTTTTTACCGACGACCAGCACCGTGGCACTAGTCGCTACGAGACGGACGACCTTGAGCGCCCCTCTCCGACGTGCCCCACCAAGTCTTCTCAAACGCCGTCAACTACATCCTCTACGCCAATCTCGCCCTCAACCACATCCACACCCTCGACCGTCAGACGGACATCGCCCGTCGGCTTCGACGCCGACATCGACAGAGACATCAAGGAAGGGAACGTGATAGGAACACCAACCGCCTTTGCCCTCGGCATCTCCGTCAACTTTCGTCGCCCTGTCTCTTTTCGCAACCACAGCCCTCACACCCCTGAGAACCATCAAAAGAACGTCAACATGACGTCCAGTCACCCATTCGAGACCGCCATGAATCGCGGCCGCCAGGACTCCTTTGTCAGCGCCGGGCCCAAGCCCATCTCCATGATCAACCCCAACCGCACCGATGCCCACCGCGCACGGCGCGAGAGCCTTGCGGGCAGCCTCATGGGCGGCGGTATGAGCTGGGGCGGACTGTCTGTCAGCAGCTTCATTCGGGACGAGTAAGTTTGCGAATCTCTTCTTCCTCCCCCCACCTATCCGTTCCCAAATCTGTCTATCGCACTTCAATCGCATTGTGCATGCCATACCGTTGTTCCATCGCGCGCCTGCACTTCTCAGCCATCTCATCTGCCACCCCATCTATCAATCGGCGCTCTCTCTTCAATTCGCATCGTTCTTTTCCTGCGACGATGACCGTTTCTAATGTCCATTTTTTTGTCATTTGCAGGATGATGGGTGTTTCTATGGGCACGTCGCCAAACATGGCGGCCCACCAATCGCCATCTCTACACTCCACCTCGTACCTCCCCAAGATGGAGGCCAACTTCATGCGGGATTTCATGTGCTGTGACCGTATCTGGCCCACCATGCACGACCTCCTTCAGCACTACGAGGAAAGCCACACCCGCCAGGCGCCGTCGACCTCGCGTCATGTTGGCGGCAATACGCTGTCCATCCCGGGCAGCCAGCGTAATGCCAACGGTGCGTCACTCGGTGTCCCCGGCCAGTCCAACCTTCAGGCCATTCAGCAAGGTCAGCTCGGGCAGGCAAGCAGCCGCCCGGGTGGCGCGCCCGCCAACGGCAACGGCAACGGCCTGAGCATGGGCCTCGGTGTCGGTGGTTTCCAGCAGATGGTGCGCCAACAGCAGCTCCAGCAGCCAGCCGGTGGTGTTCAGCAGCAGCAGCAGCAGCAGCAGACACATTCCGGACAGGCTACACCAATAGCCCCTAAGCACCAGGCGCTGGCGATGAATGACGACATGGACGCTGTGGGCGACATGGAGATGGACGATGCCGTTGGTCACATGGACATGGACGACAGCAGCAGCAGCAATCAGCGCACCATCCAACAGACCCGCCAGCTGTTCGGCCAGCAGCGGCCACAGCTCAACCTCAACAGCAGCGGCCTCGCCCACCAAGCCCTGCGCACATCCAACCCGACCACCCCAGCCGCGGCGAACTTTGGTTTCGCCAACAACCCGACGGTCTCGTCGGTCAACACTCCCACCCTTAGTACCCAGCAAGGCTTTCCCAACCAGACGCAGTTCTCCCACGAGTCCACGCCGGACTTGGACGACGACGAGGACGTTGCCGGCCTCGGCCTCAAGATGGATCTGGGCAACATGGACATGACCAACAACTTTGGAATGGGCTTTGCGAACAACCTGGGCGGCCTTGATTTTAGCACCATCAACGACCCTGCGAAAAGCTTGTACAGTCCCAATGGTGCCGCTGGTGGTGGATCCCCGCAGCTCAGCCAGCAGCAGCAGGCGCTGGCGCAGCAGCTGGCCAATTTCAATCTCGACCAGTCGCAGTTCCCGCCGGGTACGGACACGGCGGCTCTTCTACAGCAGATGAGCGCCGCCTTCCTGCTGCCTGAAGAGCCCAAGCCCTTCCGCTGCCCTGTCATTGGTTGCGAGAAGGCCTACAAGAACCAAAACGGCCTCAAATACCACAAGGCCCACGGCCATGCAACCCAGCAACTGCATGAGAACGGTGACGGCACCTTTTCGATTGTAAACCCGGAGACGTCTGCGCCGTACCCGGGCACCATGGGCATGGAGAAGGAGAAGCCTTTCAAGTGCGACTATTGTGGCAAGCGCTACAAGAACTTGAACGGTCTCAAATACGTAAGTGTCCACCCCAACTCTCAACCTCGTATCTCACTCATTCGCACGTATTAACAAACAACAGCACAAGCAACACTCGCCGGCGTGCGACCCCGAGGTTCTTGCCCAACAGCAGAACCTTCTGTCAAGCATGGCAGCGACGCTGGGTCAGAACCCGATGGGGCTCAACCTTGGTGGCATTCCCACATTGCCAAACATTGGGGAAGAACAAATGAACTAAACCGAAAGAAGAAAGACGACTGTTTTGTTTTTGCTTTTCTTTTTGTTTACGTTTTGCCCCGTTTTTTTTATTCCCTTTTTTTCTTCTTCATTGGATTGGCAGTTCCTTGGTGTCGAGAATCTAGCTTTCCTGGACAGCTTTGCTTTAGAGTTACGTCCGAGTTCAAGCCCTATACGCCATATACCCTCCGGTCACTGCTTGTGGTCCGTCATTTTCTTTACGCCTACGATTTTCACATTGTTTTATACACTTTTTCGTGTCCTGTTTCGCGACCCTACACCACCCGTCCTTGGCCAGCAGGGTTGGGAGCTGAAAATCTCTTCTGCAGAAGCGTATTTCTTCCATTCTTGACTCTGAGGTGCGAAGAGGACAGACTCATTGCGCCATTGGATGGCCGGGCAGCGGAAGGGGCACCGGTACCGGATACGTACGTTTTTCGCATACCTTGTCTTTCTCGTTTTCAACATACACTGTTGTTACAGCAGCAAACAAAAGGTGACTTCTCATCTCCACCGCTACTGCCCTCATTTTCATAGACAGTTGTCGAGATTTTGAACACGCAACGAGGAGGAGCACTTGGTTTCTCCGTTGCTATCACCCGCCGTGTCTCGTCCCTCTCTGCTCATTTCCCTTCCCCTTGATGGATGCACGATATTACACATTTCTCCTTTCCCTTTTTTGATCCCTCTCATTATTAGACTCTAATACCGGCGTCATGTGTATGTGCCTTTCAAAAAGTTATCTTTTTTGTTTTATTTGGAGGGAGTCCGTATATAGAAGGGTAGGTTGGGACTTATTTTGTTTCCTTTGTTTTATTCTTTTTTTGCATGCTTTTCCATGGCAATGTTTGGGGCTGTTGGTCATGCCGGTACTCATGCCTGTGCTTGTTTTTCTTTCTATATTTGCCAAGTCTCTTTGTGAGATGATTGTTTTGAGCTACTTCTTTCTCGTCGACAAATCCAAAAAGGGGTCCAAAGTTTATCATCTACATGGCATCAACACATGATGCCCCAGCCCCACTCTCTTGTGATTGTTTTGGTATTTGGCGTACTCATAAGTCAGGTTGTATGGGTTGCCTAGTGACGGCCGTCCATTTCGTATCTTCAAAGCAGCCCTTGTTGGCGTGTCTCTTCATCCGTGTTCCCGGTGCCTGAACGCGCAAGGCTGAGAGATGATGTCCTGGTGGGCCGGCCGGCCACGGTCGCATTGGACTAGCGAGAGGCTTTCGCCTAGGCATCCCATCTGGAATCGACAAGGGAGGATCGTAGGTGGGCAGTCTCCGCACTACAGAGCAGGGCCATATATACCAATGGACCACCACCCAGAAGCAAGCCGATCTGGTCGTTTTGGTTTTGTTTCATTGCCAAATGGTGGTAGGCTTCGCACTGGTCGAGTTCGCCCCGACAGGTGGCTCGACCGGAGGGAGGGGGGAGGAACCCAATCCGGCAAAACCAACTGGCCGCGTGGCGTTCACAAAGGCCATAAACCGACACTTTGGGAAACGGGCGAGGCCACCAGGTGAACTGCCAAATCATGACAATACACACATTCGAGAAGAGCCTAGCTGTCATCGTGTGTCCTACCGTTGGCCTGTCGGGCGCCTGTCTTCTTTGTCCACTTTGTTCCCCCCCATACTCTCAGCCTAAGTCTCGCCATTTGGTGCCAGCTTTTCGCCATCAGCTGACACTAACAAAATCGGTCTGTCCACTTTTGCTGTGGGAAAGAAGCATGACCAACCAGACTCGACCGGCACTTTCCGAGAGACGACAACGAGGCAGGACTCGAAAAAGAAAGGGAGGTGAAGGAGCGGGAGGATTCATGCTCATACGTACTCACAAGAACCTTTCGAGTGGCCGCTCCTCGTGCCAGGATTTACTGCAGCAAAATAAGACAAACGGGCCTCTTGTACAAAACAGGCTCGCAGGATCGATTGCCACTGCCTTTTGTTGCTAGGTTGCGCAAGGGTCCAGAGGTGAGGGTCAGGGCAAAAGTGAGAGTGGCGTGGTTGGTGCATGTCGACCACGCGACGGCGCCTTTCTCTCTCTTTCTCCCTGCTGTGTGCCTGTCTTCCATTCCTTCATTGTCTTGGGTTGTCGCGTTTTCTTGCCCTCCTTACACGTCCCTTTCTGCTTGTCTCCCTTGCTGTGCTTCGTATGTGAATATGCACATCATCGCCAAAGGAAGGCCGTAGACAGGGAGGAGACACTCGTAAGCGGGCAAGTCCCTACAGAGTATCTCTTGCCGACATACGACAGCACTGAAATAACAAACAAATAAAAAATAAGTGATCGGTGTGAGAGAGCGCCGAGGCCGGAGAACTTGGCGGCCAATTTACTTTCATCGCCAATGCATTGGTCGCATTCTGACTGGGTAGATCATCTTTCCAAGTTTGCCCATCTTGCGCGAGCAGAGGCAAAGACGGCCAAAAGAGGCAATGAAAGGCGCCCGAGGTCAAGGCTCCTGAGCGATTCAGGCCGCTGCAGGCAAAAACATGACCAAACCAAACGAACGAGCGGCTGCGGCACCCTATGTATTCGTCTGCATTCCTGGCAGAGAGGGCTCGGTAGGATGTGACCCTTCTGCGTTTTAGTTTGTACTCTGTGCAGCACTGAACCGCGCCGTCGTCACCGACTCGCCTCCGCATCATCACCGGTGCCGGTTCGTATTTGACAGCCCGTGCTAGATGTCGACCAAAGTACTGCAGTATTTGCCAGGCCAATTTGGTGGGAGACATCGTATTGCACCCCCCAAAACGGTACAAAGTCACGAGATGCAGAGGCGGTACAGTTTGTGGCAATATGCACGCCATTAAACGTCAATCTAAGACGGGAGCTCAGGTCGCATGTGTCCTCTGAACACAGGGGTAAGCAGAAAGGGCAGGCTGTGGGATGTGTGGGCGGGGCATGACGAAATAATAGGCAAAGATGAGCCCGCGCCACAAAGTATCGGCCGCAGAATGACAAAACTATGTCCGTCGTATGCGCGAGGAAGTTGTTTGGATTGTCGTTACTCCTCTCTTTTGTTTTTCTGGTTCCGGGGGCACATCGATCAAGGCAATATGCATCAGTATGCACTTTGGTTTGCAACGAGTTCCCTTCTCCATATGGCATCGAGATCAGAATAGAACCTGGATGTGGCATGTCACTTCAACGCATATCGGAGATGCGAAGGATGGCAGTACAAGTGGAAGAGGGGGCTCGACGTCATAAGACACAAAGGGTGGGGAGATGCAACACCAGACGAAAGTAGCCAACGGCCAAGCAACGAAACGGGAAAGATGAAAAGGTCGCAGAAGATGTAAGACAGGAACGAGACGTAGAAACGTAAATGGACAACAGACCCTTCGGAAGGTTTGACAGGTCGACAAAATGTGCTTTGTTCACTGGATGACTCCACACGCACTGTCGCTGGGGGGTAACGGCGGTTGTTGAACGTGCTCGAATATATAAAACCGACTCAAATGAATAGCGACTCTGTCAAGCTGGCAAAATGAAGAGGGTGGAGCGCGGGCGGTCGCCGCTCGCTCTCTGCCACCTGCGGTTTGATGCCTTCGAAGGTAACTTCCAGTCTTGGTTGCACTTGGAGACTGCTTTTGGGTTGCCTTGATCTTTCCTTGGTCTGCTTTGTCCGCTTGGTCTGCTTGGTCTGCTTGGCCTGCCCAGATTGCGTCTGCTTAGAGTGTGTCTGTCCTCCGTGATAATAGGATCATGCGACCCAGGTGACCCATGGCGGGGGGCAAAGAAGGCTTGAGCAGGCAGAATCAAGTCCTTGGCTCGTATGGCCTGGAGCCGTCCAACGTGCCCTTTGCACGTTTCCTTTTCCCATTTTCTCGTGCCCGGCTATGCGTGCTATCCTCCTCTTGAAAAAAGCGGTGTTGATGAGTGATGGGTGAGTGGGGTCAACGGCATGTATTTTCATGCAAGCACTAAAAGCATGTGGGAGGAGCGTGGGTGTTGGAGCATGAAAGATGGTGTGAAGCAAAGCAGTGGTGTGCGGTGCGCTTGTTATCATGAACACCAACAATGGGCGACACCAGAAGCGGAAGGAGACGGATCGTATCTCTGACGAGATTTTTCGTCTGCAAGTCGGGCGGAGTGATGCAACAAATGTCGGGGATGGTGTTGTGGAAGGGATGGCGCGGCGAGACGAAGCGGCCCATGGCAAAGACACGGTGATTGATGCAACGACTAGCCGCCTCAGAACTGAGAATTCAACCACCATAGAATGTACAGCATAATTATTTGCCAGTATCTTCAACGGAGGGGCACGCAAAGGGACCAGCGAGCCAACCGCCTATCGGTCTGTCGACGACCGCCGGAGAAAGCGGCTGGTTGATCGTCGCTGTGTGCACATCGTCAAATGTAAGCTCGTTTTCGCTAGCACCTCAGGTGATCGTCGTTTGCTGATACCCACTGAGGATGATTTGCAGGCGCAGAAGCACAAGCCAGTAGCTTGTCATTTCCAGGCAAAAGCGGCAAGCCAAATAAAGAACAATTAAAGGTCGGACACACAGCAGCGGACAAGAAAAGAAGAAGAGGCAGCAAAAACGCACCAGGAGGCGGGGACGCAGATTCATATGAGGTTATCAACCTGAAGCACTCCACTTTCTTGTCTAGAGCGGTTTGTTTCTAGACAACGTAGGTCGAATTGCGGCGACTGGTATTTTGGCTTTCTTCTCTGAGTCTCGCTGTAGTGTGACGCCAGGCTGTCGGGGGTGTTTAGTGAGCCTCTTGATTTCTCTTCTTTTCCATTTCTTCGGGGTCTTGACTTGTTCGTTCAACCCCGGCTGTGTGTGTGTCTGTTCTGCGTGTTCTATTCTGTCTGTGTGTCTTCACAACCATCCCTCACGGATGTGTCTGAAGTGGTGTCTGAACTACCCACCAAAGCGAGACAAACAAAATGGGCGGCGCGATGACAGTGAACCGGGGGACCTGCGCGGATTGTGTGAACTGAGAAAAGCCAGCTCCGTCACGGATCTGCTGTCTGTCAGCCAGGGATGGCAAAGTATATTGAAACTGGGAGGGCCTTCGCTGGCTCTGGGGTCGTTTCGTGGACTCTCTTGTCAAACGAGGATGCTGTGTTAGCAAGGAGCTTCTCGTCGACGGAGAAATGGGGCTGTCGCTTTGGGGCAATCCAGTGCAACGGTCAAATGAAAAACATAAGCATTGACAACCTCGAAAATAACATCTACCCTCAGCGGCAACAGCACCAGTGGGTAAGTAATATGCATCGCAATACGAGGCATGGACAGCAGCCTGCCAGCCTGGGTACATCTTTCTGGGAATGTCGTGCCTGAAGACCAGCTCAGCCTGCTTTCTTGACAACTGGTTGGTCGATCGTCGACTTGTTCGAAGCACGGCGTCAAGCACTTGGTCGGGATCAAGGCCAGGGCCTGCGGGCCCTGAAGCCACGGCATAACAAAGTTAGCCTCGAAACACGGCCCAACCAGGCGAGCTGCCCAGCCCGTGGCCAACAGTTTTGAAACATGCCGCCAAGGCCAACGAAAGCAGAAAATAGGATAATCGTGTGCAGCCTCTAGAGCAGCAAATCAGGACGGGCATGTCAGCCGCCTCTCTCTGTCGGAGCGTATCTTATCATGCTAGGCCAAGACGACAAGTGCGCAAGGCTAGAACCAGTGAGAGGATTGCGAGCATTGAGGGTGTAGCAGAAAATGCGAGGGGAGCGGGCTTTGGTGGTTCTCCGAAAAGATGGGGCCTGGCTGAGCGCGTCGTGTGTTCTCGACCGATGCCCTTTTTCTGTTGGGATCGCTTCGCAAAACGATGTCAAATATGGCAGTTACGTAGTGGCGTGAGCCTGTTAACAGGGAAGGAGCACGGCGAAGCAGGTACGACACATGCAGTCACCCATCTCACCTTCTTGCTTCGTCAAGTGCGATACGCGCGGAAGCAAAAAGGCAGGAGCGACGAACCAGTCTCTCGCAAGCCGTTCTCGGACGGTTCAAAAAAGAAATAGTATAAAACACTACGGAAAACAGACCATCAGCATCGAATGTACGAAATACACAGTATTCCAAAATGTAAAGTCGGCCCCTCCCAAGCCTCCAGCGCCAAATAAGTGACCACAGACCCAAAACCTATTTTGATGCACCGGTCTCGTAACTCTCTTTTTCTTACGACTTTAATTGCAGTGGATCACGATATTAGCTCGCGGGACGAAATTTAATTGGCAAGTGGGGCCCTTCGTTTTGCTTTCCCTTTTTCCGTTGCTAAGGAGCAGGAACGCGGTCACCGCCCGGCTCCCACAGCGCCTGCTACAGCGATGTCGTCGCCAACCGTTGCCCTCGAACGTTTTCAGGGCAACCAGCGCCAGGCCAAAAACAACAGGCCACGGCCATACGCCAGGCCCATACTTCTCGTTTCTTACGACGTATTTTTACAATGTCTTTTGCGCGCTCCCTTGCGTTTCTGCAAAGTGACACGGCGCATCTCTCTCTGTATGTCTTGCGTCGCACAGAACAGTTCGGTGGAGGGGGTTGACTTCGTTTTGATTTTGTGCTCATGTATCGTTTTATTGTGCTTACCCCCTTAGGAGCGACTGGCACTCTCGTCAGGAAGCCACGGCCTGCACGCCAGATTCGCACATGCTGGTTACGGACAGGCCTGGCCCTTCTTTTTCGACCCTCTTTTGTGACCTGATCGACGCGAAGGAAAACGAGAGAAGGGGAGGGAAAACACCGGACCCTCTCGTTTACGATGTAAAGGTTTTCACTGCTCATTCTTGCCACATACCGACCAGGGAGGCTCCGTGTCGTATCAAAACACCCCTGTGCTGAATCACGATTGCAAGACGAATATCCTCTGGAAAAGACGTACGAATTTTTATTTTTCTTTTTTATTTTTCTTTTTTTAAAAAAAGTCACATGGCGTCTGCAGGCTGCTGCAGTAGGTGCGACCCACTCTCTGGGCAGGTGTCCATTCGCTTTTGATGCGCTACGACTAAGACTCTGGCCCACTAAAAATGCCGGTACTTTGCAGGCAAAGGTATCTCTAGCGCGGTAATTCGGGACTGGGCTGGGCCAGCCTGCCAGTTGTTATTTACTTTCGAGCTGCTCTGCTATCTTACGATTCGTTGGGAATACGGCACAGGTACAAAGTATGAGAACATGCAGCGCATTCTGCTGCTTCTCTACGAATACAACGACTGAGGATTCCATCTTCAAGCTCCTCCTTTTCCTGCCCCCAAAAGCTATGTGATGGGTCCGAGATTGGAAACATGTCTTCGCAGGCGCGTTCTCAGTTCGCCCTTGGCACCAGTTTCGTTGACTCATCGCGACTGTTTCGAGGGGACAAAAGAAAGGCGAAAAACGAGAAGAAAAAACGGGTTTGGCACGCCTGGCACGTCTGCCTCGTAAAACGTTCGGGTTAAAAATAAGTTAAAAAATCTAGCACGAAAAAGGCCGAACAATTGCACGATTCTTGGATGCATCGACACGCAGATTTTTCACGACGCAGCTGGCATGCGAAGGAGCGACCTGTCCACCACAATCGCCCACAGGGCCCGCACTGCACGCCGCCGCTTCGGAGAGTGCCTTCTCGACAACGGCCGGCCGACAGCAAAACTCTCACATCTTCCTCGGGAAATACGATGCTGCAGACGTGACTGACATAAGATACTTCTGTACAGGCTGACAGGCTGCCCGTGGCACCTTCATTCGCCGTTGCCCTGCCGCCGTAGCGCGCACTAGCAAAACTCTACGCTCCAAAATAAAATGATCCCCCCCCTACCCGTACCTACATCGTCAGGGCGATGCGCACATCACGCTTTATCGCGCCGGCAGCGCAAATGACGATCAGAGCCCTGTGCTCAGCCCACCTGCCGCGTATCGGGTTTCTTGTCGGTCGCTGCTGCCCGCCACCCACAAGACACCGTGTTTGGTCCTTGGTCCTGCCCGGAAAAAGCGTACCACGATCACCCCTGTCAGGGCGCCACTACGCTCTTTCCATTTCCCACCCCTGCGCTGGCCAAGCAATTTCAATTGTCCATGTCTGGGCCCAGGGCCCCCCAAAACCCCGTATCAGAAAATACTATGGAAACCCAGCAAATAAAGCTTTTCATGTCGAAAAGGGGCAGGTACGGAAGGTACGATGTACTGTTTTCTCGCACAAATGCTCTGATCCTGTCAGAGGCTGGATGCTCTCCCCAGCAACAACGTCCCAATGCAGCAGGAGCCGCCCACTGTGGAGGCCCAAATAATGGGCATCAGGAACGGGAAGCGAGATGGCAAAACGTCCGCAAACAAGAACCGATGGGGCTCAGGGAGGGCAGGTGCAACGGACAATCTGAGCAATCAACGCCCAAAGGCATGCGCGGTCACAAAGAGGCAAAAAGGTAGGAGCTCCGTGCTGTAAATGAGACGGGCAAGTATTTCGTACTACAGAGTATTCTGCCATCCAATGTGTAGATTGTAGCATCAGGCAAGCACCACGAAGGCCACCACGCGCCGTCGCACGCCCTGGCTTGTGCAGCGTGCACTTCGTGCAGCTCGTTGGTTGCTCTTGCCAGAGCAGAGGCGTTGCTCATTCGTCCTCCAACGTCTTTTCTCCCTCCATCCCTCCTTCCCTCCTTGCTCCCCCTCCACTCCCATTCCCTTCCAAAAGCAAGAGCGTCTATCAAAGGCGGTCCAAGTGCCCCTTCCTCATTCGACACTCGTGCAGCCTGGCCAATCAGGTGTAAGTGTACAAAGTACTTTGAGCTGCTCAGGCGGATCGTCCTCCACCCAGACCACTTTCTGTCTCTCCTGTGAGGTGGTCCCTTCCCCCCTTGGCCACGGGTCCCTGCCTGCTCTTGCCCTCCGTTGCTCCCTCCTGTTCTTTTAAAATAACCGTTCCTTCCTTTTCTACATGCTTCTGTTCTTCTTCTCCTTTCCTCTCTCCTCTCTTTTCTTCTCTCCTCTGCTCTCCTCACCCTTCTTTCTTTTGACATCGTACAAAAAATACCCAGCTTGACCAGTTCAACGCACAACACCCTTCACTAATACTCCCTTTTCTTTTTCTTTCGATTTCTCTTGTGATACCCCCTATTTCATTATAGTCTTGTATTTCTTTTTCTTTCCTAAGATACCCTTCGATACCCCCCCTAATCGCAAGATACCCAAATTTCCAAGTTCCGGAAAGATCACATCCGACAAGCTTTTCGCAAGGCTTCTCATCCCAAAAACAACAACCGTTCAACACACACCAAACTTCCAAACACTACAACCGTCGCAATGGCCGAAGAGCAGAAGCCCGTTGAGGTCCCCGCCGTTGAGGCTCCCGCCGCCGAGGCTGTCGCCGAGGCCCCTGCCGCTGTTGAGGCTCCTGCTGCTGAGACCGCCGCTGAGGCCCCTGCCGCTGTCGAGGCACCCGCTGCCGTGGCCCCTGCTGAGCCTGCTGCTGAGGCTCCCGCCGCCGCTGAGACCGCTGCCGAGGCCCCTGCCGCTGCCGAGGAGCCCAAGAAGAAGGTCGAGCCCATCGAGGAGGGTGTCCTCGAGGCCAAGGGCTCTGGTTTCCCCAAGAGCTTCTTGTACACCAAGAAGTTCTTCTGGTTCCCCAAGGAGGCCGTGACCCCCAAGGACCTGGCTGCCTACGTCAAGTCCGAGAAGGTCACGGAGACCGCCCACCACGTTGTCTCTTGGGCCGCCGAGACTGGCAAGGGTCTCCTTTTCTATGGCGACAAGCAGGGCGAGAAGCCCCACGGTGTCATCCATCTGGTACGTATGCGTATTCATTCATTTGCCGTTTTCACGGCGGCAAGAAATCTACACGTAGACTTTTGTTTTCTAACATGATCTCCCCGCCACCTAGGCCGATGCTTCTGAGCCCACCACCGAGGGTGCCAACAAGTTCCAGGTCACCGCCAAGGGCCACAAGCACGTCTTCAAGGCCCCGACTGCCGCCGACCGTGACAACTGGGTTGCCCAGCTCAAAGCCAAGATTGCCGAGGCCAAGGAGCTTGCTGCCACCGTCACGGAGAGTGAGACCTACAAGAGCACCCTTGCTTCGCTGAAGCCTGCTAAGAAGGAGGCCGCTCCCAAGGCCGAGGACGCTCCCAAGGCCGCCGAGCCCGCCGCCGAGGAGCCCGCTGCCTCTGCTACCGCGGCTGCCGTTGCTGCTCCCGCCGTCGTTGCCGCCGTTGCTGCTCCTGCCCAAGAGGCCCCGAAGGAAGAAGCTCCCAAGGAGGCTGCCAAGGAGGAGCCCAAGCGCCGCTCTGCTTCCGGCAAGCGCACTTCCATCTTCGGCAGCCTGATTGGCGGCAAGAAGGAAGAGAAGAAGGAGACTGCTGCCCCTGCTGAGGCCCCGAAGGACGCTGAGGCTGCCCCTGCTGCTGCTGCTGCCCCTGAGGAGGCTGCTGTCGAGGCTCCTGCCGCCGAGACCGCCCCTGCTGAGGCTGAGGCTGCTGCTGAGCCGGTTGCTGAGGCGGCCCCTGCTGTTGCTGCCCCTGAGGTGAAGACCCCTGAGATCAAGACCCCTCCCGCTACCAAGCGCGGCAGGTAAGTTCACAACCCGTTTGCCGCTGCACTGTGCATTTTCCCTGGACAACTGTCTGACGAATCCCTAGCATCTTCGGCAACCTGGGCTTCTCCAAGAAGAAGGCCGAGGCTGAGGCCGCCCCTGCTCCCCCTGCCAAGGATGCCGCGGCGGAGCCTGCAGCTGTCTCTGAGACTGCCCCCGTGATCCCGGCTGTTGAGGCCACCGAGCCCCTCTCTACTGAAGTCGCCCCTGCTGCTGAGGCGAACGCCGCCGAGGCTACCCCCGAGGTCGCTGCCGCCGCTACCAACGGCGAGAAGAAGGAGGCCAAGAGCGACAAGCGCAAGTCGTCGCTGCCCTTCAACTTCGGTGGCAAGAAGTCGGACGACGAGGGTGAGAAGAAGACGTCGGGCTTCTCTCGTCTCCGCAACACCGTCCGCCTGGGCCGCAAGGACAAGTCTCCTGGCCCCGCCAAGACTGAGGAGGCCGCTGCTGCCGTTGCCGAGGCCAAGCCCGCTGAGGCTGAGGCCCCTGTTGAGGAGGCTCCTGCCGCTGCCGCTGCCGCTGCTCCTGCCGCTGAGGCTGAGGCCGAGGCCGCTGCCCCGGCTGCTGCCGCTGAGGATGCTGCCGCTGAGGTTCCCAAGGCCGTCACCGCCACCCCTGTTGTCGCTGCCACCGCATAGAATGCGCGTTCAGGTTCGCTGTTCAATCGGCGGTGATGAGTTATTGTGATGATTTAACGGCTACACCTCGTTGTTTCGCAACTTTTTTCGTTCTCGCGTCCACCCTTCTTCCCTACTCTTCGCTCGAAGATGTTAATTACGACGACAACCGCCAAAAAAGGAGGCGGCCCTTAAAGCATCTAATACCCCATTGTCTGCCGTTTGTTTCGGGTTGTTCGGTTTCTGCATTTGAGATACCCTGTTTAAGAGAACGACCATGTCACCAGCAGGTTCTCGCTCCTCGTCACTGAGCAGCAGAGCAGCTCTATTGCGTGACATAGGTTGATTCATTTATTTTGCCATTGCCTTTCCTTTTCGATTTGCTTTTTTGTCGTTTTTGTTTTTCTGTTTTACGTGTCCGAAAAAAACCAACAAAAAAAGATCAACAAAAAAGTATACGCCTACGGACTCTATACCACATATCATTACCATACCTCTTAATAATTCACATACTGCTTTCTGCCATTGCAATGTTTTTGTTTCGCGTCCGTCTCTTTGCTTCTTGCTCTGTGCATCTCTTTACGCTGTCGCCAATCTCGCATTGGCGAGCAGCTAGCTTGTCGATGCTTCGAGTGTACATGGACATGAAGGACATGTTGTAGCTAGCTATTGGCGCACACCCCTTCTGCTGGACAAAACAGCACCAGACAAGTATGTTTCTTCCTGTTGGCAAACGGTATGTTTGGCTGCTTTCCTCGATGCGTTTTCAAAATTAGTTGTTTATTTAGGAGACTGTCTGCAAGTAAATATGAAGTTGTTTTATACAGTGCCAGTGAACAAATCCTGGTTGTGTTAAAGCAGATACAAGATGATTCCAATCGTAGTGCTTCTATTTGGTTTTATTTTTTTTTATTCTGTTATTTTTTTTTAAAAAAAAAATGTTCAATCCTCTTTCATTTTCTTCTGGTATTTTCTTTTTAACCCCCTCCACCTTCTTCCCCTCCATCCCCAGATCGTCCTAATAAAATATGCAGAATAAACGGCAAGCCTAATATCATTTTAGATTAACGTGCTGCCCTTTTCTACAAAGAAAAACAAGACGTCTTATATCATTATCATTTGTGTTCAATTAGTGAAATAATACTCCTTGGTGGTATCTTGCGTTTACCATAAAACATCGTCGAAGCAATAGGCTCCGCATGAGAACCTACAACGCCGCCATTCCGGTTCCCTAAGAAAAGTGAAGGTGTCTTGTCTACCCCGCCAATTTTGTAAAGCCGTTTCGCCCAGTCGAAGTCGACATAAAAATGATAAATAACACCCGTGCAATGACCATATCGCGTATGCCCAGTGGCACTGTATTGAAGGGCAAATTTACTTGCTTCGCTTGCTGGCAAAAAAAAAGGGGAAAAACAAAGAAAAAAGAAAGAACAAAGAGACCAAGAGAAAAGATACATGAAAAAGCTAGTGAGGCACGATAAAAAAACCCCCCGAGATGGCACCATGTCTAGATGACTTAGTATCATGGCATTGCGTATGATAAATGTGACGATGTATAAAATAGGATATGAAGTTAAGGAGAGCCGAGGAGAGATATAAATGGGCGTGGCGGATGGCAAAGATGGACGGATATCACCCAATTTCTAAGTTTGCAGTCTGTGCAAGAGGACGCAGTGCAACAGGGTACTTGGCCACCAATTCCTGAATCTTGGGCGTCAGCTGCGCTAGGCGGAACGGCTTAGAGATAACGTCGTCGATACCGGCTGCCAGGGCCGCCTCAATCTGTTCTGACCGGGCGTAGGCTGTGACCGCGATGACGGGAACATGGCCTGGAAGCGTGCCGCTCCGCTCCAGAGCACGGATGGCCCGCGCACAGGTCATGCCGTCCATGACGGGCATTTCCAGATCCAGAAGAACGATGGAGACATATGAACCAAGCGGCCGCAAGCCCGAGGAGGAAGCCGAGGGTGTCATGGCGGCGCTCGCGGGAGCCAATGCCGACGGCACCCTTGTCGCTTCAGGTTGCCCCTTGACACTGGATGCAGGCTCGTCCTCGACAGCACTGCCGCTGTCTGAATTCGCCTTCCCAAAAGAGGCAGCCTGGAGCAGAATTTCCAGCGCTTCGCCACCGTGGTTGGCTACCATTGTCCGGTTTCCACATTTGTCGAGCTGGCGCTGCAGTACCCTCTGGTTGACAATGTTGTCCTCCACGATGAGCACATCCAGTGTCGGCGAGACGTCCGATGCTCTATTGGTGTCGTCGGGGGAGCGCTTGGTAAGTGAGGAGACAGCAGCGTTGCTGATGATAGGTGTGGGAGCGGCCTGAGCCTCTTCCCTGGAAGGGCATTGGTGGGAGCGCGGTTCTGTCGCCGCCAGAGGCCAAAACGGTGACTCGACCATCAGTGGCGGCGATGGGAGCTGGGGAAGGACGGTGGCCGTTGACGCTACCGTTGTGCTACAGGTACAATTCCCGGAGCCATCCTTGAGGCGATTGGACGTGTAGGCCACGACAGCAGAAGCGTCCGTCGCGGACTGTGAACCAGAGACGATGGCGGAAATATCCGATGCGCCGGGCTGAACACCGGCGGGGGTGGACGGAACTTTCCTCGCCTTGACGTAAAACGCAAACGTGCTGCCCTCGTCCTTCTTCGACGCCACGCCGATCTGGCCACCCTGCAGTTCTGTAAGGTTGCGAGAGATGTAGAGGCCCAGGCCTGAACCGCCGTACTGAACATGCGTCCGGGGCGATGTCTGCAAGAAGTGCTGGAATAACTCGTTCTTTTCGTCCTCCTCCAGACCCTTGCCTGTGTCGGACACGGCGACGTGAAGGTTGATCAACTGGCCGTTGCCCCAGTCGGCACCATCGGCGATACTGGGAGTGTCCTGCCGACTGGGCAAGTAGGAGACTTCGGCGATGGAGCTTGAGACATCATTTTCGGCAGGGTCGCATTGGCCGTCGGAAGCTGCGAGGGAGACAACAATGGAGCGCTGCTCGCAGGACTGTGTGAACTTGATGGCGTTGGTCAACAGGTTGATGAGGACCTGGTTCAGCCGCGACGGATCAAGCCTCAGCCAGTTCCCGACGCCGACGAGGTCCAGGTACGAGGGTTGAACGCGGAAGGTGCAGTTGATGTCGTGGGCCAGGAGCTCCGCTTCGAACATCTTTAGTGTGCCGCGGACCACCATGACGGGCTGCACATCGACGGGGGTCACGGGCAGCAGCTGGGAATCAAGCTTGGAGAGTGTGAGCACGTCGTCGACAATTCGCTTTTGATGATTGGTGCAGAGCGTGATGGTGCTGCTGGCTTCCTGGATGTTGTCGAAAGCGCGGTTGAACTCGGTCGTACTTCCGTTGGCCGCCAGACGCCTGAGCTCGTTGACCGTGTTCGTGATCTCGTCGACGGTCTGCAAGATGGCACTAAGGGGATTTCGCATCTCGTGGCTCGTGATGTCAATAAAGTTCTCCTGCTGGCGCTTATGCTCTACGGCTTCTTTGCGGAGCTGAATCTGGAACTCTTCCGCCAGCTTCTGCTGGGAAATGTCGGTGATGCACCCAAAAATGCCCTTGAGATTACCCTGGTCGTCCTTTTCCGGGTATGCGCGCAGCAGAACCCAGGTGGTTGTCTCGATGGGTTCCGCACCCTCGGTCTGGATGGTCGTCTTCTCCTTGAACCGGAACTCGTGCGTGACATTGCATTTATCGTTGACGAGCCGGTTCCAGACCACGGCAAGTCCTGGCTGGTCCTCGTCCTGCACGCTATCCATCCAGGTGCCCCAAACGGACGAGGCGTCGTTGTTGAGGGGTGCAGCGACTTGGACGGGGGTGAGGGAGCTGGATGGAGGTGATGACGCAGCGACATCCTGTCGTGGGTGGCGCGAAATCTTCCACCACATGTCGTTGCAGTATGTTATCCGGCCCGTGTTGTCGGTGACAAACATGCCGACAGGCGTAAATTCGGCCATGCGCATGAATCGGTTTTGGCTGTCGACGGCCTGCTGGGTTCGGATCTGGAGCTGGTGTGAGAGCTCCTGGCGATCCTGTGCCGCTCTGCGCGCTGCCCACTGGCTGCGGCGCACTTCTTCTTCATACAGCACCACGGACGCCAGCGATGTTGTCAGCTGGCGTGCCAGCAGGTGCACGAACAAGCGGTAGTCCCGGTTGTACGACAGCCTCGGGTTCGTGCCCATGACGATGAAGCCCGAAATGGATGGGGAGGAGGTTGTGGAGTCGGACGTGACAGTAAGGTGCTGCACGGGAATGACGACGACGGTGCGGCAGGGATCGCCGAAGCCCCGGTCGCCGTGCAGGCCGGCTAGGAGCTCGGTGGGAAGCGTGCCGTTCTCGATGGACAAAACGACCGGCGGAAGCACGGTGGACGACGGTACGCTGCTGGTGGAACCCGACATGGACTGACGCATATACGGTGCGAAGCCGTCCTCGCTGGTGCGAAGATCCAACGAGTGCACAGCGGCTGGATGGTCGCGCGGTACGCCAAGCGAGCCCTCCAGCACAACATGGGGTTGCGGATTGGGCAGAGTGCCCGGCGTGGTCGACGACACTTTGCTCTCATCGATGTCGCTGCTGTTGTTGGTGGTGCGGACGACGGAGTAGATGAGCGCAAAGGGCACGTCGTACTCGTTGTCCTCCAGGCCCTCTCGGGCCGCCTGCCAAAAGCCGGGAATGGTTTGTGCCGTAGCAGTCTTCTCGCCCACATCGTTCAGAGTCAACATGCGCCGTTCATTGACCTTCCGCCGGGTGTTTTCAAAGGCGGGGTTGAACAGGCCCACAACGGAGCCGTCGCTGCCAACCATGGGCACAAGGGACCAGTCGAAAAAGGTCTCTTCGCAGAACCCATGGCGGTTGATGAACAGGTGGTTGTCCTGCTTCAAGACAGCCTGGCCGGCATTCCAGGCGCTGTCAAAGATGGGCTCCAAGTCGTCCCAAATCTCGGACCAACTTTGGGCGAAAGGCGAGCCCATCAACTGCGGGTGTTTCTGGCCAGCCAGCGAGGTATATGCCT